TTCATAATCATCGTCCTCATCATCATCATCATCATCATCATCACCATCTTTTCTCCCCCTCACTCAATTGAACAAAATCTACGCTCTTAAATATTGCAGTCACTAAGCTAATTTGGTTATAATGACTTTAGGATTGGACATTATGTTAAAGGGCAAAGTCGAACTGTATTTACTCAGAGGAGTCTGTCAAACAACGATGTTCTGGAAATGAAGTAATTGTCTGTGTGAGAAGATAAGGGTTGTTTTAATTTGGCCCCTTTCACCCTGACGAGATGAGGTCAGAAGAAACATATTTCTATCCCCATTTCTCTCTTCTGTCTGCGCTGCAGCCTCGAGTCGTGGAGCGAACAGTCAGTCCATCCCCACCAACTTCCATCTCCTCTTTCCTTTTTGACCTTTTTGATCCTCAATGGTTCCAACACAAGAGTCAAGCACATAATGAAAGAAGTTAAGTGTAAGAAATGTCTGATCTGAGCCTGACCTTCCTGGTTTCCACCTCTAGTGATCAGGTTGTTGTTTCTGAATTGCAGTCACCACAGGACGAGTCGAGGCTTCACAGACAGAGGACGAGCCGTTTTGATGTGTCCTCAGATCAAAAACCACGTTGTGATGGATATCTATCTTAAACAAGATTCTACAAAAATGGAGGACACCTCAGCGTCATTTAGACTGGGCGCCCTCGATGCCAGTTGAGCTATCAAACCTTTTTAGCCCTCTGTAAAATACGGGTTATAATCATAAAGGATAACTGCATAGATGCCGTCAATCTACAGTGGCTTTTAAAAAAAAAGACGAGTGACTGTGTGTCCTCCGAGTGACCCAGTTTTGCGACAAACCATTTAAATGTTTTGGTGACTTTTTCATTTTTTGTTAGGAAAAAAAAAAGTATTTCTACGTTAGTAAGGTTTTAAATAAGTTTTAAAAGCTACTCAAATTGTTTAGGATTAGGGGGCAACAAACCCAAATAAATAATAAGTTAAACCTTTTTTTCATTTTGTTCTTTGCTAAACTTAAAATGATAGAAATATCCCATGGTTATAAATAATACTTTCAAAGAGCACTCAACCTAATTAAATAATATAATAATAATATATTAAATTTGGTTATAAAAAGGAACTACTCTAGTTGGAACTGTACACTGTAAAAAAGCAGCGTTGTGTAATGTTGTTCTGCTGCAGTGACGCTTTTCTTCACTGCAAAATACACATGTAGAGCTAACGAGAGAAATAACATTTAGCTGTTAGAGGCATCAGACCTTTGGAGAGGAGCCTTTGTATTGAGACGGCGACGAGAAATTCACTGATTCATTGTGTTTGACAGAAGAAGTCATTTGTGCCGTTTAAAGTCCTTTCTAGTTTCACATATAAAAAGCCAAAGTGTTACTTTACGTTCTAAATGAAACTGATTATTTTGTATTCGACTTGCACCAAATGTATAAGACCTCAGAATCGTTGAGTAAAAAGGGCAGGAGAGTGAAAACAGGAGGCGCGTGAGGTGGACAGTCGGGTCAAACCAACAGGACTTTCACCCAGAAGACAGCTGTTGGAATCCAAAAGTCAGGGTTGACTTTTAACATACTTATGCTAGTAACTTGCGTACTTACTAACGCTGTAAACATGTTACGTAACAGGCGTATTTATCTCAGGTAAACATACAATTTCAACACAAAATCACAATATTTTCCTAAACTCAATTAATTCATTTTGTTGCGTAAGAGAACCTAAAAACACAGTAAACCTACGTTGAAATATTATTTTTTAAAGGTAATGAGCGGAAACTGACACGTTGACGGCTGACACTAGAGCGGAACCTACAACATCACATTCAGACGCAGAGAGAATGGGGATTATTTCCTCTCCAGTGGGATCATTCCGACTGGTCTGGGACCACATGAGGACGCGTAGTACTTCTTCTAGTACTTCTTGGTGTTTTTTCAGTCATTAACTTTCAATTCTCATACTTGAACTTTACATTTTCCTAATCATCCCATCAGCTTTCAGATGAATCCACTTGAGTAGTAGTAGTAGCCATTGATCAGCGTTTCTATGAGCTATGACACAAACTGAATGCATATTCTCTCTAAACAAATCTGAATTCCTGCCAATCCTGCATTAATGCTGTGTGGCAATTTAATAGTAACTCAACTCATTAGAAATGATTGGAAACCAGATGGAGGGAAAAAAGGTACAATTGAAAAAATGATGAGGTGTAACCGGAGTTGTGGTTCCTATTTAATGAACATCATAAAATATCCCAAAACATAACTGAAAATGGGTCTTTGGAGCTTTGCATCTACTCGTGTTAGTAGTTTAATACGAACCTGGAGGGTAGAGAAACTATCTGGCAAAGAAATGTTATAATGAAAAATGATTCTGAGGTGTTCCCTGTGGGATCAGTGGCACAGATTCAACCTCCTGCAAGGCAACAAGAATCAGGATTTGTGCTGTCTTGCTTCTGCTGGTTATAAATAAAAAAGCTAAATAAGCTTGCGTTACAAGCTAAAGCTCAAACAGCATCCGTGTAACGGTTTTATGTTTGTAAGCCAAAACATTTTCCTCTTTCTTTTTGCTACATACAAATCAACTTCTTTAAACGAGCAAAAATGTAACATTTCAGTGACTTTAAAAGGACGTCCATGAGAGCAGACTGACGTGAAACCATCTCGACCGTCTAAGGAACGACTGGCGAGTCGATGAGCGCTGAGGATGGAGGGTTTTCTACAGTGGGTCTTGGAGATTTTGATGGACACACTGGCTGTTTTTGGGATCTGATCTGTAATGTTTAAAATATAGAGCGATCCTTGTCATCACTACAGCGTGTCTGATGTGACGGTTTCCAGACAGCTGCTGAAACGTTGCATATGTGGGAAAAAAAGAACAGTGGTATCACAGTTGTCTCCACATGAAAGGGACACCGTGCTTTTGGCTTTCGGGAGAAAACCCTCTGCAGAGCAGAACGACTCATTTGTTTCCTGCGTTCCACTTTTCACCAAGTGGCTGAATGCAGACAAAGAAGAAGTGAATGCTTTGGCCAAACCCCCCAGCGTCCACCAAATTCAATCTGTATGTCGATGAAATTGTATTTTGTCGCAGATTACGGGACAAAGTACGCGTAATTAAAAATGGAAACAATACAATAACTATTTGGTTATGTTTAGTCAGCTGAAATAGGTTTGTCAGGTCATTTAGGTTGCAGAGGGGACCCTAACAGTGCCCACCTGGGTGAAGGTCCTACGTTTGTCCACCCAAACCTCCACCTTACACAGACGATATGATTATGAACGCATTCATGATATGTTGAAAATACATACGTGATCTGAATGTAAATTCATTCTCCTCAAAATGTACTTGACAATGCCGTTTGTTACAGTGGGAAAGTCATTTTTAACAGGGAGGATGTCTCATTAAGCTCCGCTTCTTAAGCCAAATTAAGCAGGATGAATAAAATGTTTGAAGTTAACAAATACAATCTCCATTTGAATGTTTTGAATGCTTTAAAGCAATTCATCAACCGCAGGGAGATGGCATCCAAGAAAATGTCTCAGCATGTCCAACCCATTATCCCAACTATTTGGACTTTTGATCTTTCACTCCCCCAAGCAGATTAAAGAAACAACTGTTGTCCCAACTGTTGGTTTTACTTAATTTCTACTAAAACCTACATAGGGGACGTCGGCTACAGCGAGGTTTGTAGTCAGAGGTTAGCTACAATATACTAGCGACTGCATTTAGAAGAAGTAGAGGCTTTAAACAGCAAACAAACAAATGTTCATGGACGATCTACAAATGAAGCTTCTCAGTTGTTTAGTTTGAAGTCATTCATTCCCCCGGTAAGGAGCTGGTACGCCCTCCTGCTGATTTGGGAAGTTTTATTTTCATGTAAAAGACATAAACAGAGGGCTTCCAGGAAGAAAGGAATCAACCCGAGAACTGATGGATGATTTAAAAAAAACATAAAGATCCTTTTTATTTAAAGTTTAGCCATTTTACTCTAAATATGTTTGTTTCTTTACCACGCTGAAAAGAAGACATGACTTGTCAACCAGCCGTTCTATTGATAATTTACTGTTGGAATCAGATGGTCCACCTTTGAGCTCGCACAGGGAGGACGACGGATCAAAGTGAGACCGAATGCATGTTGTGGAACACGCTGATGAGTTTGACCCCCTCACGGTGCCTGCTTGTCTCGCCGCCCCCCCCCCCCCCCTCCGCACGCTTTCGGTGGAGACGTTACCTCTCGGCGCCTCCATCCGCGGGACTTTTTCCCCGCACGCCATAAAAGCCTGGCGAGCGTGAGCTTGAATCATAATATTTGAAAAGGCGTGATAATGAATTCCGGGCCTCGTTCCTCCGTGCCCTCACTCACACATACAAACCCCCCCTGAATATCAATTCACCTCCTCCGCCTGTCTCTCCGTCTCCCTCAGGCTTTCCCCCCTTTCATCACAGAAAGATAAAGGTCTGAAAATTACAATATGGTGAGTGGAGTGACACAGTCAAACGTGGAGCATATTGATGGCCTGATCTCTTCTTCCGTCAGCTGATTAATGAATCATTTGTTCTTTTAAGCTCCTGTCTTTCCAAAAAAACATCCCAACCCATTCCACCTCGCGCTTACTCCCGAGACCCCATGTTGCCCACATGCTGCCACCCCCGGCTGTCAGTACAAATCTATCTGAGAAGGGAGAGGTGGATGTTCTCCATCCTGGCCTCCCGTGGCCGAGGTCCTCCGGAAACCACGGCAGCTTTCACTCGAATCTTTCATTCTTTACACTTTTTAAAGCAATACAAAAAGAATGGAACGGGCACAAAATATTTCTTCCAAACAATTCAATTATTAAAGAGAAATGAAACTTTTTCTGATTTTCAAAGGGGATCATCCCCTGAAAGGCAGCTCTCTGTGGAAATGGGTTTGGGATAACCTGATTTGAAAAAACACCGTTCTGACAGGACAGCGAATGTAAAAATATACTTATATAATATGCTTCATTAGTGTGTCGGTTTTTGTCACCTTTTTTCTTTCTCTTTTTATATTAAAAAAGACAGGACACCCTGAAGTGAACTCAAAGTGAAGCTGGCGGTTTGGCAATTTCATCCCATGTGTGCGATTGAGGAGGACAGAGGTATGCGTGTGTTCATCTCATGAAAAATAAATATGGATTCATCAAAAACAGGGCTCCAAAAACGACGCGTCACCTTCGGTCAAACACATGTTGAAACGGCACAAACAACAGTAGAGGTCAATCTCAACATCTGATCATCATCGAATGCCCACTCACATATCTACTTACATTAATAGTAATGATAACTTAACAACAAAACAAATCCCCCACTAAAGACGAGGTCTGGATCCCGCTGCTGTAACACCTCCTTCACAATTCATTCCTCCGTCAATCATTTCTCAAGAAAGCGGCAGGATGTTTTTGTCATCTCACAACTGAGATCTTGATCCAGAGATAAAGGTAAAATTATTCATTGAAATGACATTATTATGACTTCAAAATCTCTTTCTCGCGATAGCACATCAACTTGTGATTGGCTTTTGTGAACTCATTAGTCACGTGACTTCTACGTCGCAGACTGTGATCGCTCGGCAGCTTCGGTGGGGACGACGCACACATAGTGAAACTTGAAGAACTGTGAACGAGGCGTTCACACCAAATTTGACCAAGTTCCAAAAAAGGACCAATCGCCGCGTCCGAAGCCATTCATCAAGACTTTTTGAGATGATTCCACACGGATCGTCTCACTGCTCGACATCGGTTTGAGACAAAGATGGAGTTGAACGAAGAAGCAAACAAAATAGATGCTTTACAATAAGTAGTCCAAGGTGAGAATTTGGCACAAAGATGGGAGTTCATCTGGGTTAGGCAGAGTAAAGGCCAGGTCAAGAGCAGCAACACACTCGGAATCTACAAAGGTTTCGACATTGTCCTGGAAGAGTAGATTCTGCTGGATTGGACAAAGCCAATTCCGACCGGTTGAGTAGCTCACCACAATTGTTACTTTCCGCCTAAAATCCATTTTGTTCTCACCTTATTTTATTTTTTAAACCTCCAAATCCAGTCCAATCTGAAATGGAAAGACCGCATGGGTCATGAGTCACAGTTGGCTCAAGAAAACCATTCTGTTTTCTTCCAGACAGGGAAAAAAGGAGGAAAACTAGGCTTGCGTAACGGGTTGATCTCGCTCGGATCCAGGTGAGAAACTGATTTCGGTGAAACTTTGGTGGCTGAGGTTCCTTTTTTTTGTACTGTAGGGGACAGCGGCACTTTCAGAACATGTGCACATCCTGCAACTGCACACAAATGGAATACCCGCCCCCCCAAAAAAGACAAAAGGTATACTTCCAACAGCAATCATGAGAAACAAGCGAGGTACTGTCACAGTAGTTGAGTTGTAGTTAACCCCGTGGAGGACGCTAATAAATACCACAAAGAGGAGAACCAGGAGGGATCTTTGTCTTCTTTTTTGTTGAGATAATCCTGTCATCCTGCATCAAAAAGCCGAGGCGCTGGCTCTCAGGTTTGAATCATTTTCTGTTTGAAGAGGGGTTCTCAGCCCTTCAGCCCTGGTCCTGTCCTTGTTGATGCTGTGCTGTTGTATTGTTGTTTGATTTCTTCCATCCCTTTATCGATCCAAAACAATTGACACTAGCAGACCACCAGAAACCAAACAAACTTCCAACGCGGCACGGACCTTTGATACCTCTTCAAACCTCGATCGGCCTCAGCGTGTGTGGCACAAGGGATATCAAGGCTTGAAGAATGGTTCCAGTCTGGACCACCGCTGAAGACTTGGCTTGGGTCGGGATCGCAGGTTAAAAGGCGGAGCCGGTGATGGCGTTGAGCTGCTTCATCAGCCCTTCTAGACTGGCCATCTGCTCCGACAGGTCGTCCTGCTCGTAAATCTAAAGAAAACAACAAGAGTAGAGCAAGTTATGCAACTGCAAGCTTAAAAAAAGAAAAAAAACTCCTGAATATCTAATTAAAAAGTTACAATGATGAATCAAGTATTTTAATACCACATCTCATCCTTCATGCAATCACACCTGCTCATACACTGATAGCAGGGCTACCCTGAAAAGTGCCATCTGCCAATCAGTACTAACCCTAACCCATTCAATACCAACATATACTAATTGCAGAGCATCCGGGAGAGATGGTGGTTAAGTGTCTTGTGCAAGGATACGTGAACATGGCCGAGCAGGACTGAGGAGATCGACAGGGGATGTTCAAGCCATCAAAGACCTTGTCTAGCTTCAAAATAGTGATAAAATGAACGAGTTAGTTGTTGGATCAACCAGTAAATTTCACAGTTGATACATTTGGCCTGTGTTCAACCAACACATGTGGCTGTCTTTGGCTGCTAACCGTCACCCCTGTGACACCAACACTTTACTATGACGATTCTGTGCCCATTCTGGTAGGTTTTGATGGTTCTCATCTATTCACTGACTCCTTCATTAACTGCTGAATCTCTAAAGGTACCTGGTCGGTCACAATGAACCTCTCTGTTCACCTACAGTATTGAGTTTTTTTAAATCCATGCTCACGACTGATAAAGTGAAAGGTGACTTTGCGTCGCCTGTGATGGATCTTCTAACGTGAGGTCAAATGAGCTGAAACCACCTGCTGGAGAGCAAGACGACAAGTTGCAATGAATGCTCAAGAACACCAAGTTCACAGGAATGTTTAGTAAAACTGATGGTAGCACAATATTCTCAAACGGTATCCCATTGTAGTTAAATAACAAGCTCGCCTGCGAGTCAACCGCAGAAAACACGCCAGAGTTGTCGCTGTTGTGAAGTAGTACTTTGACATATTGAGTGAAGACCAATTATGAGACTGAATCTGTGGTTTGGTTGTTTGTCCCTGGTCCCAGGGCGGCGCCTTCGTGATTAATAATTCTGTTGAATAATTTAGTTTTCAAACTAAATGTCAAACAAAGGTACTAGGTTAATGAAACACTTTCAACCATGCCTTCTTTCATGTTGTCCGTTTGCTTATAACCGTACACGCTCCTACAACGACTGCACAGCTTTCAATTATAACGATCATTTTGGTGGCCTCGTCGTCAAATTGCTTATTTTCTTTGACCAGAAAGAAGATAATGACAAGCGGAAAAGCCTTAGATTTAAAAACCTCTAAGGATTTGATAAATTGGATTAAGAAATGATTAAATAGAAAATTTTAATGGACCAAATAAAAAATAATTTTCCATCATGTGACACGCTTATCTATTTCTCAGAGTTTATATATATACACACACATTTTAACTCTATATATAAAACTCTGATTTATATATCATTCTACTCTTCCCGTGTATATATACAGGTAGAATTTAGAAATAGAGATTTTATCTTTGAGGACGATTTGCAGTATACAGATATTCATAATTGATTAATCAAATAAATCTGTAGGAAATGTATAGCCAGCAATTTCGGTAATTGAAAATATTTTGGTAATTACTGTGACACTAGCTGTATATTGGAGAAGATGGGGCTAATTTAAAATACTGATTTAAGTGTTTTTAAAAATGTTATTGATCATTTAATGGTAATAGTAATTATCTTTGCTTGTGGCCCATGAAGGGTTAGCAAAACTTAAGCAAAACTGTGAAAACAGTTGAACATTTTTGTTTTTAAAGGTCTGACTTTTCTCCCAAGCTTTCAGCGACACTTTTATTTGGAACCCTAACCCACATTTGCAAACAATATAATCTGTCTGGTCAGGTTTAGAAGCTTTCAAAGGGTTAGAGTCATGTTGGATCAGCTTTCGACCGCCTTCTGCCTGAGGGCAAGTAAACCTCCGGTCATTTATAGATTTCTATATTGCCCCCCATTCAGCATCAGTGGGGCCCAAATAGGACGCAGTAATAGTTAACAAATGTCAAATTATTTATCTGCATATGATATTTTCTTGAATTTGTCCATAATACTTTATCACACCAAAACCACAATATTTCACAACAAGTGGATTCGGTTATTGCTTGTTACAGTTTTTAGTTCCTTGTCCCATGAAGCGTCTTTTCTTTTTCTGTATTGAGCCGGATGAGGAAAACTCACAGTGAGTCTCAAGCGTCTGACTGTAGATTCCTGTTATATGCAGTAAAAGGACTGACAGGCTGTCCTTTATCTGTGTAATAAACAGACAGCATGACCGGTTTGACCCCCCCTTTCTTTCGCCTTGAATGAGGCCATGAAAGCTCATCTAGAGGCCCCACGCCATCCAACATTTCCCATCTTCCCCAGGACAAAAAGGCTTCTGCAAAAATCACAACTGCGTACAACAATCCAGTGACCTCCAGATCTCATTTGTTGACCCGCAACAGCAGAGTGTATCTGAGGTGGTAAACGCTTCATAAAAGCGCCTGTCGATGATCCGTGTTCCCCCCACATCCTGTTATCTCTACCAGACCACTGACCTGGATTGAGGCTCCACTATGATCCATCGTAGATTGATTCTCTCTTGGAAGCCAGAGGAGCATTGAGACACAGGCAGATTCCACACACACTGTGTTTGCGTGTCTCAACGTTCTCCGGCAACAGATTCAAAATACTTCCCTAAACTAAAGCAAATGGATGTCAGGCAGAATAAGGCGTTACCGGGGAAACCGGGCTCTGAATCGGAACTTGACATTAGGTACAGCGTTTAGGGCTCGTCTGCTGACGTTGTGGAGGTGCCACTGGCTTGGATCAAGGAGCGTTCAAGTGAGATGTGCTGCGAAGGTTAATTACAACGCTATCATCAAGTAGCGGATGCAATCTTTTAAAATGTCATTTTGGTCGAGAATAGATGGGTGAAGGAGATGTTTTAACATGAAATTGATATTAGAAATGAAGTTATGACCTTACAAAATTAAAGCCAAAGCCAGGACATAAATTGTATTTAAGTATTAAAAATATATACAACCATTTTTCAACTAATCATTTTAATTTACTGTGTTTTGGAAAAGAATGGAAGTCTGCTGGTCAGAGAGAAAAAACATTAACATCTATAACTAAAATATTGAACTTCTGATGTGTGAAGTGTTACAGGAACCGAAGAGTGTCTTCTCCTGCTCTTTGATGGTGTGTCACAGATGTAACAACATAAAAAGCCCTGTTGTGTTCTAATTACATCATTCATGATGTGTGTGTGTGTGTGTGTGTGTGTGATATGCCAGAGGGCTGATAGGAAAAGACTAGATCAAGTACAGAGACAGAACAGCATGAAGAGAAAGCCGTGTTGACCTTTAGACCCCCCTCCTGCCCGTCCCACCATCTCATTTGCTCCTCTCCTCCTCATCTATTCAGTTGTCCCTCTCCAGATGTTCTTGGTCTCCTCGACTCTCCTTTCCCTCCTCCTCCTTTGCTGAAGCATCCGTCTCATTCGGTTGTTGTCATGGCGGCCCTCTCTTCCTGTTCTCTTCCACCACCTCCTCTTCTTCTTCTTCTTTTTCATTTCTTTCTTTCCCTCTCCCTTCCTTTCTTCCTGTTGCTATGGCGACACATCAGCCTGTCTACCTTTTTTCTTTCTTGCTTGTTTTAACTCCTTTCCTTTGCTTTCCCATCCTTGTTTCTTCTTTCTCTCTGCTCTATTCCACTTGTTTCTGTAGCTCGGCCCCCCCTCTCTTATTTTCTATCCTCCTCTGTTCTCTCCTCTCTTCTAGTTGCCGTGGCGACATCTCGTCCTATTGTCATTGAGTCCCATATGAATATTTAACAGGTCCCACCGTCCGGCATCCCTCCACATCATGTCCTGTCGTTTATCTTTCTGCTTGTCATCCTCTGGCTCCTTCCTCTCCTCGCCTTCCTCCCCCTGTCCATGTTTTATTTATTTGTTCCTCACACCCTTCCCCTCCTATGCTTCCTGTCTCTTCCTCCCATAACCGTCCTTCTTCTCCCCATTTCCATTTCTCCTCTCCGTCCTGCATGCTTTTCTCCTTAGCCCGTCCTCTCCTGCTGTATACCTCCTCCTGCCTCTTCGTCCTGTGCGCTCCTTCTCGTGCTTCTCCTTTGTTCTACACACATCCTCTGTCCACTCATTCTGTCCTTCTCCCCCCTGTCCTTCTATGTCTTTATGGCTCTCCTCTCCTCCCTTTTTCTCTCTTCCTCCCCCGCTCCCCCCAGGCCTCCTCCTACATGTATTTCCCCGTCCTCTTCCACTACTCATATCTGATGGTGGTTTCATTCTACAGCTGAAAGGCCACCAGTTTCCTAAAGGGAAGGCAACAGGTGTAGCGCAGAGCTGTGTGTGTGTGTGTGTGTGTGCACCTTCCTTCCTCCGCCTTCTCTCTCCTCTCTCATTGTCTGTTTAATCCTCCCCTGGATTTTCTCTCCTTTTCATCTATTGTTTTTTTGTTTTGGGGGGTCTTAAGCCTTTTAAAGTACGTGTAAATGCATTGAGGACATTGTGATCAAAGCAGCTGACAGACACACATTGTGAAACCTGAAAAGTGAGGCTCTGCCGTTAACAGTTAGGGGCTGTCACTCCTTTAGAAACTACAGTATTCTTCTGGTTTCACTCACACAGCAACTGAGTACAGAGTGAGACTCCCATCGGGGACCCAACCCCCAAAAGAAGGAGGAGCCAGCGCAGTTTATCACCACATGAACATCCACGTGTAGAAACGCTGAGTTCTATTGTTTGTGTAGCAGCCATCTACCCTTAATAACCATTGAAAGATAATTGCTAGCTAACGGCTGTGCTGCGAATGTATTGAACGGCTTCAGAACTTGTATTGCTGCTCAAGACAAATTATTTATTGATATACAATACTAGTGAAACAATATTGTTTTCATATCTGGCTTGAAACAAAATGAGAAAAAGACCAATAAGTGTTTTCGTGAAGAACCGACAAGCAGAAATGATAAAGAGTACTTGTATCGATTAAATCCTAACAATACCCAGTGACCACATCGAACAAGTGTAAATGTAATCATGTTCAGAAACGATGTGATGTCATTTCACACACAGCGTTACGTGAGCCAACTGGAAAACAGCACAGGGACGAACGCACGCAAAAAGAAGATGCATTTTGAGTAAGTTATTAAAAAGGAACAGAAACCTTTCATGCAGTCATTCTCTTTTTCTCACAGCAACTGCAGCAGCCCTTGGTCCTTGTCCCCGTCCACAGACTGTGCAACTATATTTAATGTTGGCAGGTCGGATGCAGGTGTTTTAATAACGCTAATGAGTCGGGTCCTGAAAACGCTGACCCGCTCATCACTAGTTCACGGAGGAGGGGGGAGGGGTTGGAGGGTCCGCTGCTTAGCTCTGGTTGAAGACACTTTAAGGCTTTTCTACTTTCACTCCAATTTCAATTTCTACATGCAGCATTTTTGAAGCATCCATGTTCCTGTATTGTTGATATATTCTATGGACCAATTTCCTTCTGCACAGAGTCATGTCATACACCCCTTTTGCTGCTTTTTTTTTGTGACTTTTCACAGTTTCAACACTAATTAGTCCCAAAATTGACTTTGGGACTCAACACTTGAACTCAACACTTCCTGCCCATGTGTTTCACAGCAATGGACCTGTGGTGCAGCACATTTTAACTCACGTTGGCGGCTGAATCCTCTGCAGGTTTGGTTCCCCCCTCCTCCGATACGTCCGGCGCCGTGGGCACTGAGACGGGCAGCAGAGGGGAGCGTGCCTTACCGGCCTGCCCCAGAGAGGCCGTCTTCACCTGCGGCTTCGAGAGACTTGCAGCTGGTTGAGAAAAAAGAAACAGTTCTTGTTAGTGACATTATACAGACAGTTTAGAATAGAGACTAATATGGAGCTCATTATTTCACACCTTGATTTATTTTTTGACATTTGTTCCAAAGATTTCTTACAACAGAAATTCTGAGCAGAAGCAGAAATCTGAAGGTCTCGTATTGAAGCTAAGGGTTCCTCTGTGTCTCAGTATTAGAAGCTGCGGTATTTGATGAGTCGGGAGCGAGAACAAGTAGGACGGGAACCGTTTGATCTGATAACAATATTGATTTATCTTAATGAAAAGTTCAGAAGCAACTAAGTGGCCCATTGATCGTTTGAGTACCTGAGGAATGGGAAAAGCCATTTCCCGTTGTTCATTCAGCACCTATTGTTTTATGTTGTAGTAAATTCATGTTTCAATGTTCAACCAGTGAATGGTTGGGAACAAAAAAAAAAAAAGGACTTTCTTTTTTTTCAGAATTAAGACATTGACTTTCACTTTACATTATTATACAATAGAATGAGAGGGTCCCTTAAATTAAGAACTCAACAACTACTATTTAAAGTATGAGGAATCCAGCCACACACATTTCAAATACATTTCAAATGATAGACATCATTTGTGCTTTATTACAGCTTCAATAACTTTATATTATATTTGTACTAAGCATCTTTAAAAATGGTGGAGAATTCCTCAACTTGACAGAAATCCCTGGGATATATTTCTGCTTTAAAATAAACGCTTCATACTGATGCTTAAATTGAAATGTCATGTTCTCCCTTCAACAAGTACCAGATAAGTGAACCAACATGGGAATAAACAAACATCCACGTAGCAGAACAAATAAACAAGGAAATAAATCAATACATCCAACCACATCTCCACTGTAGCATTCAGGAAGTAAAATATATGGAGGCTTTGTTACAGAAAAGGAAAAACAAACAACATGGAAGCGCAAGAGAGGAGACAAGAGATGAATGTCTATTTTTCTACCCCTCTCCAATTCCCGAAACAGCGTCCTGATGTATGAACCCGTCCTCAGGCGTCTGTAACCTACAAACCACTTCCCTCGTTTCCTAAACTGCACCCCCACACTTCCTGTTCAATGAAAATCTCTTCTCCCTTCCTGCGAAACAAAACAGCAGGAACAGCCTTGATAGCAACGGAACACTCCAGAGATCACGGAAACCAATGGTGCCAAAAGAAACCACATTGACCCAGATACATAAAGTGGTACTTGTGGTACTAAACTAAACACATTTTCAAAGAACGTTTGTGAGTAACATGGAAGATTATGTTGTTTTAACATTGACTTTCGAAATGTACAACCGTTGACCTGTAATTGCAAAACTTTCCAAGATTGGATTCTAAAAACTGTCGAAATTAACTCTGGAACTTGGGAAAAACCACGCTCAGTCTAATAGGCCCGGTCTCCAGTGGAGCAAGGTGCTGACTCAACTATTAGAACAAAACAAAAATGGCTTTGGGAGGTAATGTCCTTAGTCCAAAACTAGAAATGTATTAAATAGGTATATAATAGGTGAAATATTTTCCGAAATGTACGACATATTTTTATCCAACATAATATGAATTCTATTCAATATTCAATCAACATTTGTTGAACTTTGGATGCTTCTTCCCCAGAATCAGTCTTGTGTCTGATGGTGGTTATATCTGATGGTGGTTGTGTCTGATGGTGGTTACATCTGATGCTGGTTGTGTCTGATGGTGGTTACGTCTGATGGTGGTTACATCTGATGGTGGTTGTGTCTGATGGTGGTCATATCTGATGGTGGTTACATCTGATGGAAGTTACATATGATTGTGGTTACATCTGATGGTGGTTACATCTGATGGTGGTTACATCTGATGGTGGTTGTGTCTGATGGTGGTTACATCTGATGGCAGTTACATCTGATGGAAGTTACATATGATTGTGGTTACATCTGATGGTGGTTACATCTGATGGTGGTTGTGTCTGATGGTGGTCATATCTGATGGTGTTTACATCTGATGGAAGTTACATATGATTGTGGTTACATCTGATGGTGGTTGTGTCTGATGGTAGTTACATCTGATTGTGGTTACATCTGATGGTGGTTACATCTGATGGTGGTTGTGTCTGATGGTGGTTGTGTCTGATGGTGGTTGTGTCTGATGGTGGTTACGTCTGATGGTGGTTACATCTGATGGTGGTTGTGTCTGATGGTGGTTACATCTGATGGCAGTTACATCTGATGGAAGTTACATATGATTGTGGTTACATCTGATGGTGGTTACAGTGTTGGTGGTAGTCTTCTGATGGTGGTCATATCTGATGGTGTTTACATCTGATGGAAGTTACATATGATTGTGGTTACATCTGATGGTGGTTGTGTCTGATGGTAGTTACATCTGATTGTGGTTACATCTGATGGTTGTTACATCTGATGGTTGTTACATCTGATGGTGGTTGTGTCTGATGGTGGTTACATCTGATGATGGTTATATCTGATAGTTATATCTGATGGTGGTCACATCTGATGGTTGTTACATCTGATGGTGGTCACGTCTGATGGTGGTTACATCTGATGGTGGTCACATCTGATGTTAGTCTACATTGGTGGTGGTTGTGTCTGATGGTGGTCACATCTGATGGGTGGTTGTGTCTGATGGTGGTCACATCTGATGGTGGTTGTGTCTGATGGTGGTCACATCTGATGGTGGTTATTCATATTTTTCCTTCTGAGGCAAAATTCTTAATTCCAATCCAGGGTTACACAAAATAAAATGAATTGCATTGAATTTCGAGCTTTTAAATATGCATTATTTAAGCATGAAAAAAATTATCTGCTTTAGGATTCAAGCTGAGAACTGAAGAAAATCTCTAAATATTTCTATTACAAAAATATAAAGTCCTCATGCTGCTGACATATTCGCATCCTGTATACCCATATATATATTGATAATAGGAAACATTGAAGTTCACATCCATTTCTTATTTACATTTCATACTTATATCTGTGTTTGTCCTCCTCCAGAGCTTTCTGGTGTGTGCAGCATCAGAACTGTACACAGTTGCCAGAGCGGCTCAAGACGTCTCTGTGTGCTTCAGTCCCAGTGGGCCTGCTTAGCCACACTGATCTTGTGTGACTTGAAATGTCTGTAAAATGTGTTGTAGAAATCCCTGCCAGCCTGATTTTAAAAATGAAGCAGAACACAAATGTGTTTTTATGACGCTTCTGTCGGACTGAATCCAGACTGAGCTGAGCGCCGGAAAAAATACATTTTGTGGAGAAAAAAAAGCCCACAATGAGCTGCAAAGGAATGAAGCAAAGGTTACGCATCCACAGTGGGGAAAGAGTTTCATGGTGCCTGGCCCACCCTCGGGAAGGGGGGAGGGGGGGGGCGTCGTTTGTTAGAGCAGGAGGGGAGGAGCAGCTGAGGTGGATATATCTACCAGACAACCAGAAATGGAGGTGTGAAAAGCCCGCCAGGGGTCACATCAGCTGTGTCTGTCTTCCTGGGTCGAAGGCAAAGATGGAAAGATTTGAAGGGATAGGAGGTGAGGATGGAACGGGGGGGGTTATTGATCCTGAGGACGGTTTGAAGTAAATACAGTTTAGGATGAGAAGCGTCTTTGAGGAGACATTGTGTCTCTGGAGGGAGAGAAAGCAGCTTCTCCTCCACACCGGAGTTTGGTGTTTCTTTGTCTGCCTGTTGTATTGTATTTTTTCTTTTGTTGATACCAAGCGGAGGTGCACCTGGTTCCCTCATCCGTCAGACTGAGTGGTGAGGGGAGTCTACTTTCGGAACGTAGCTCAGACTGTTGTCCAAATCTGCGTCTTTACCTCATAATCTGTTCATTATCTGTGAGAAATACAAATGTTCAAGCTTTACCCAGGAAGCCTACGGAGTCCCGTTTCCACGACAGAAAGAAATGGGTGAGAAGTTAGAAAAGAATACAAAAATCAACCCATACTGTGTATTAGCGCAAATAAAAAATGAATATGAAGATTCATCCATGGATGGGGGGTGAAGTCTATCCCAGCCAACTTCAGGCGATAGACAGGGTTCACCCTGGACGGGTCACCAGCCAATCGCAGGGCTACACAGAGACACACAACCATTCACACGCACATCTACATTCACACACCTACAGGCAAGTTAGAGTCACCAATCACCCTGATCCCCAGAGCAGGTCTCTGGACTGTGGGAGGAAGCCGGAGAACCCGGAGAGAACCCACGCAGACACAGGGAGAACATGCAGACTGCACACAGAAAGGCCACTGGGCGGAGTGGAACCAGGACCTTCTTGCTGCGAGGCGACGGTGCTGACCACCACGCCACCGTGCCGCCCCCCAGCAAGATTATGAAGAATAGATTAAAAATATACCTCTGACATCAAAACATAATTTGAATGAAAGTTACGTACATTTTATTGGCGTTATGAGGTAGTCGGTGAAAATGAGAATCTCGCTGAAGGGTGTAAAACAGGAGTCCCCACACTTTTCCAGCTCGCAAGCTAATTTTCAACTGACCAAGTCATGGCGACTCTGTGTGTGTGTGTGTCCGCTATGTAGCATTAGCATTAGCTTCGTCATCTCTCTCATGTGACGTGCGCCCCTGGTCTAAAGTAACTCCAAATGAAAACATCATTTTTTATACTTTTTTGGACTTCCAAAGTAGAGATGTATTGCTGTTCATAATTTTGCGGATATATTGCTTTATTATTCTGACTTCTATCTGTTCACAATTCAATGGTTCGATTAAGTATCTGATAATCTTAACATTGCATCGTATATATCTTAAATATTTGATCCCATCTCACAATTTCTTCTTAGTGTCCCATCATTTTCCTTTCACTGCGATCCTTTTATCCTCTTTTCATCTTTTCCTGGTAGAAATTGGACAAGACTACATTGATGCAAACCGTAGCTGTATTACAGTTTCAGTGCACATTCGGACCACTTCACCGTCAATTCAGCATTTTAAAAAGATTCTGTCAGACGCCTGCAGATTGTAGACAAGCCCCCCCCCACACACACACTCCCCCCCCCCCTCTTTCTGCCACGCCTGAAGGTACAAAGTCTTTTGAAAAATCGTTTTTCCTCCTTATCTCTCATCTCACCTTCTTGACATGAGGTGGGTATTACCGGGCGTGTGACAGCAGAGCTTCTGCGACTCAAACCCTCAGCACAATGCTTTAGTTCTCAGATAATTACTTTTTATGTGTTCAAGTCAGGTTCGTATTTGTGTTTTATTCATCCATGTTTGACTGAGGTAATCTGTTTTTTTGCTATCGGTTCTCAGCGCGGTAATGAAGGAATAGTGTGGGGTTTTATAATAGAAAACATTTGAGAAGGCCGATAAAAAGAAATCTCTATTTCCCCAAATAAATGTTTGACATAGCCTAACCATATTTAACTATCTTAAAGCTTTGTATTGGTAATAGCTGGAGCCCTCTTGGCCAGATGAAGGTGTACGCCTAGAAGCAGCCATCACAGCTGGCTCTGCATTTACCTCCAGCTGTGGTTTGAATGTCTTTTTCTCCGTATCAGACATTGAGCCAGACAATCCCATTACGGCTTCCAGCATTAAGCCACACATTGAGGCCAATTTAGGTGAGTAACTGCCCACCATTACACTTTCCTCCGTAGAAGGGCTTTGGAGGCGCCATTTAAAAAGAGAAAGCCTTAGTTTAAATATTGATATAAAATGAGGCAGCAGGGAGTAGAAGAAGAAGAAGATACATATAATATCTGCTCAAAAGAGAAATTGAAAAAAACAACAGCACAGAGACAATTTGATTTGAGGACATCCTGTCTTTAGGTCCTAAGGTTTAGGACTTTGGCTTGGGGATGTTTGATTTCCGCACACGCATGGACCTGATTTGCGCTCTTGGATTCAGACAGTGATCTGCCTTCATACTTTGTGTCTTTATGTCTCCTTGGTCAGACAGAAATGCCGCTACAGACTGTATATACTGTATGAGCTGGATGGATCACCATTAGTCTGTGGATTATCGCTTGGAAGCCTTGAGTACGGTCAATTCGCCATCTTGGATTACGATCATTTCCGTGGGGATTTCTTTGCAGTCAATTATGTAAGTTACCGTATTTTGGCTATAGTAGTGGCAGCCACCTGTCAGTCACAAAAAGCCCGCCCTAAAGTACACTTTGCCTTATTTGACTCCAAATGAACCATAATTTACTAAATTGTCGTCGTAGCTTCACCAGGTGACGCTACGACGATCCGCCAAGAGTCTCGCTCCGACACCAGGTACATTATAACTGGTATCGTGGAACCATTTTTTTTAACCATCTTCCATCCTGGAGTATCAACTCCAGTCTCTCTCCAAACAATCCAATTAAGCCGTGACAGCATCTCATTCCTCTCAAGCCCAGAAAGACACACAGAAACAAGGCCAACCATGAACATCAAACACCGTCGCTCCCGAGTCAGTTTGTTTCCACCCTTGGAGGAGGAGGAGGAGGTGGGGATAGGTGCTCTGTGCTGTGTGACGGGCGGTGGGAGGAGTGGCGTGGGGAGGTCACAGAGCGAGCGTGAGGGGGAGGGAGGTCTCTGGGAGTCGAGCCGAGCGTCGCCTCAGGCTCGCTATTTCTGAGCGAAAGCTTTCCAGGAGCTGAAAATCAATGTTAATCTGAGACCACCTGGGCGTGTAAACAGACCCGTAATGGAAGTATATACACCCACACACACACCCACAGAGAGCAGACACAACAAACACCTCCACACAGACACACACATTCTGTCCAGCGGTCATATGGACTGTAGGCAGGTATTTTGTTTTCTGTTCACACTGCTGCAGGCGACCGAAGACAAAAAGACAGGATGGGCGACGGGGGGAGGAAGGAGAGGTTAAAAGGCCAAAAAGAAAAGAATGTAAAAGGGGAGACAGACAAAAGCAAAACGAGAAGGAATATGTCCTGGCATTGTTTTCATACTTTGCTTTATGATCTATTTTAGTCTTAATGGGAGCATCATTTATTAAATGAACATCACGCTCTATTGAATTAGAAGGAAAATTAGAGAATGACCACAATCAACCAGAAACCAATATCTGCAATGTTTACTGAGGGAACAACTCGACAGAGAGGTGGAGTCTTTATCTCATAGACGTCTATACAATCAGACTTGCCCCCTAACGGCGCTTTGAGGGAGCGCAGGTTGAAGACACTACACGGCCTCGGTGACAAGCTGTGTCTCCAAGTCGCTAGCGTGCGTTCGTTGACCCGTCACTTCCGCTGTCCCAACCCGTCGGATCCTCCGACCGCGGTCAAGGGACGTGGCCCAGCATATCCCAGCATGCAGTGCGGTATAGTCGGTTTCTAACATCCTACTGAAGCTGTTTAATATATAGTTTATACTTCACATTAGGAACAGAAATGGATGAAAGTGAGCTCAGGTAGACGAGTTCTGAACCTGAAATATCAGGGGTCGTCGTGGCGCAGGGGTTAGAGAAGGTGTGCTGGGAAGCACAAGGTTGGTGGTTCGATTCCAGGCTGCCCCATGTTCCCCATGTCGAAGTGTCCCTGAGCAAGACACCTAACCCCTAATTGCTCCCCAGGCAAAAATGTGAAAAAGCCATGGGTTTAAAGTGTAATGTAAGTCGCTTTGGATAAAAGCGTCTGCTAAATGACCTGTAATGTAATATCACTTTCTACGTCAGTAATGTTACAGAATAAATACACACAGAAACTGAACTGGCTTTGCTCCTTTTGTTGTGTGATTCTAAAGTTTACATTTAGTCGTGTTTTATGGAGCAGGAGGAGAACGATGTGTGTGTCCTACAAGTCCTTGTATACGAATTAATAAATGTGTTTGCTGTTGTGGTTTTTATTGACAACATTGATGGAATCTCCTCTGCCTTACGATTGTATTATTACTTTTAGCTGAAAGTACATCTGCATCTGTCCCGGCAACTGATTTCATTTGAATTTAAAACAACCAAAACAAGTTCCTCTCTCAGCCTGAAATATATCGTGCTCCGGAGGAGAAGCGTATCCTCCTAAATTAAATGAAATAAGAAGATTATCTTCTTTTACTTTGTGTTTTTTGGGCTTTTAAAGCTTTTACTATCAAGCCAGCACGTTGCTAGGCAACGGGAGCGGTGGAGGTGATGATGCAACAGGAAGTCGGTTGTTGGAGGACCAGTCCAGGTCTTCCGTGAAGGCTGCTGAAGGTTGGAGGCTACAAGGATGCAGCCTAGTGACTTTAGCTGTGTAGGCTGAACCGAGCGGTCTCTGAAGTGGGACGGTCTGTCCTACGGGGGGACTTCCTGATTGCGTCATCAGCTTTTCCTCCACCGCTCCCGTTGCCCAGCAACCTGCTGCGCTTGACAGTAAAAGCCCTAAAGCCCGAAAAACATATATATAGACAGAGAAGATAATCTTGTTCTTATTCCATTTCATTTGGGAAGGTACGACATTTCAGGGTGAGAGGAGAACATTTTCCAGTTATTTTAAATTCAAATTAAATCAGTAAAGCCCTTCAGCTAAAAGTAATAATGCAGTCTTAAGGCAGAGGAAATCCATCAATACTGTCAATGGACACCACAACAGCAAACACATTTATTAACTTTTATTCGAGAACGTTTTATTTTTTTCCTGCATTGGATACGATCTTCTTTTGACAGCTCTAGAAATAATTAACTTCTTCACTAATATTGACTATTTGTTTACACAGTCAAAAGGGAAATGAATAATAAGTAACATTAAGCCGGCAACGGAGCGTCCACTGATGCATTTCGTCTTTTCCTAAACCAAGCTGCTTTGTGTTTATATGGATGTTTATTCTGAACCAACCCTCTGGCTCATGTCAAGGCCAGTGGAAGAGCATCTTCATATGACCTCCCCTCCACACACACTGTGTTGCACCCTCAGGCTCCCATATTTAGTTTCTATTAGCGCTGCTCAGCAGAGAGAGTCCAGCTTAGACAAAGAGAAACTGAAATCGGAGAAAACCAACAACAGGAGCTTGAGGAGCAGCTACGCAAACACACGTTGGTCACAAACCAACTGGATGGGAGACACTGGGAGGGAGCCTCCAGTCCAACACATTCATGAATTCAACTCGTCAGTGTATTACGCGTGTGGATGGTCCGGGTCATCGGGGGAGGGGGGGGGGGGGGGGGGCGGACGGTCAGGGCGGTGCCGATCAAAGACCCACGGCTCCTTGAGCTGTGTGGAAAACGTCAGGGGGTGAAGGAAAGGTGGTTAGGAGAATTCCTGAAGATTTAGGAAAAGAGAACCGCGGTGTGTTTAAGGGATCCAACTCGCTGAGCTACGTAGTTCTGTCAGTGACGTCAGTCGGCAGCGTGAAGCTACAGTTTGTCTGAGGATGGACTACAAAGAAGCATCTCAGATGCTTCATGTTTTGTTAAAGTCGATGCAGACGACATAAAACGACCAGGTTCAAAGTGTTACTTTTTAACAAGGAAGCATCATAAATGAGTCATGCTAACGGTTACTCACGTGATCTGTGTTTCTCCGTCATGAGCGTTATTTCTCGTGAGCGGTCAATAATACGTCACTATTTAAATATTGCCGCCGCGAGGAATTGTGGGACAGAATGTAAAGGACGCTCCAGTGGTTCCTTGGCTAAAGGAGCTACGTATGGAAGCATTGAAGCTCCTTTCCGTAGCATTAGAGAATAGAACAGCTCTTATCATGGCGCCACTTGCACTGCTGGTTTCACTCAGTTAGGAAGCAAATTTTCAAATCCATACATCAAATAATTTTCTCATAGACTCCCGTGCAATGGCTCAACCCCTACTGGCAGCTGGAGAGAATGCAAGTTAAAGGCACTCTGCCTTGTCATCCCCTCTCAGATCCCTGGTTTGCTGCTCAGACGTCCGAGTTCATGTCACGTCTCACGTCCTTTGCGTTGGGAAACAACTCGGCTGCACTCACTTGAATGCGGCATCATGGAGTTGTAGACCTTGGGGTCGATGGTGCTCATCGGTGGTGGCAGCAGCGGGTTGGTGAAGCTGCGGAGCGGATGGGTGGGCCGGACGCACGCCGTTGGGATGGTGCGACCGCCGCTGGCCTGGGCCTCCTCAGCAGCAGCCCCGGCGACTGCGGTGGGGGCCCCCGGGACGGGGCCTGGGATGTGGTCCCCGGGCGGTGCTGAGGATCCGGGGAGGAGCGGAGCAGCCTGCTGGGTCTGGGGCTGCTGCTGGAGGAGGGTGCTGATGGATGACTCCGAAGGCATCGCTGAGGGGGACATGAGAGGAGGAGCTTAGAGTGCGTGGGGATGTTAGGGACGGATTTGGGTACGAATGGGGACAGAGACAAGAGAAGGACAAAAGTCAACACATCTAGTAATTGTAAAGAGACAGTTTGAGAAATACACCAAAACACTGAATTCATATATATACATATATATGAAAAAAGAAGACTGCAGAACCTGAAAGGTGTGAATGTTTTGTCCTGAATTACTGTGATGTGGCAGTAAAATAACTATGGTGGGAATCACCGTTGCTGGAGGACGGCTGATGAGTCGAGAGTGTTTTTGGTAGGAAGTTAAATGTGATGTGACCTGCATGGACCTTCTCCTCCATGTTTCATCACCTGTGACCCTTCCACTCGTTTCATGTACACAACAAGCGGTACCAGTACTACAGCTGTAATGCTGCAGTCTCTCATTTACCTACTGACATACTCACAGCTCCATTGATCATTTCCTCACCGCACAGCTCTGCCAGGTTCGCACTTTACTATCATCGAGTGTGAACTTTCTAGCATTTTAATAAAAGATAAATAATATTTTTTGATTTTGTCGGAGATACAAGAGTGAAGGAAAGAGCCGCAAGAAGAATCTTGTTAAAGAACAGGGGGGTTTAGAAAATGCAGCAACAGAGCCTCACATGTGACATGAGGGAGATGAAACTCCTCGTGCAGCCAGTTCGGTGGCAGCAGCCGGGGGAGCGAGCGGGTAATTACATGTGGAGTCGCTGTGCAGGTTCATCAAGCGGCCGAGAAAAGAGGAAGAAACGAGAGGAAAAGCTTAGAGAGGGAGAAAGGAACTCCCCATGGGAGAGAGAATGGGGGGGAGAGACTAAAGAGAACACCAGAGACTTCAGTTTGTTTTATTTCAAAGAGAAATGTTCTTCTCTTCTTAACTCAAAAATATTTTTTCAGTGATGTGCCCCCTGTGACGTATGTTTTCATCCAAGTGCTCCCTAACCAGCAGAAAGCACGCCTGTTATTTTTCTGGCCTTCTTTGGCTCTGGTGTTTTCAGCAGCATCGCTGCCGGGCTTCAACCACACCTCCATTGTGTGAGTTCTCAAGGCGGCAGGGATGACAGGTGATGACAGGTTGCGTCAAACCATCCTGGTATGGGGGAAGCGCAGGTTTTTTAGTATGTTTACACTTCTATTTCATTTCAGATTTATTTAACCACTCTCTTAAGAGCTAAGAAAAGGAATGGAGCAAATTAAATGACGATGCATCTTAACCGATTTGACGGCATGCGCGCAATCATAAAGGGAGCTGAAAAAAGCTCACAGGACAACTTACAGTAGTGTTTCCCAAACTGCGGGGCCTGACCGTCTAGTGGGTCGCACTGGTGCCAGAGGAAATTCTTTTTATTTTATTGAAAGAACTACATTGACAACCTTCGATATTACAAAAGTAAAACGTCATCAGGAACGAGGATCCACGCTCAGCAGTGAGCGTGACTGAGAGGCCGTGACGGGTCGGCAGCCCTGTGTTGGAACAATGGTCGATGTCAGATAGCTGATACGTGAAAGGATGTGCAGTGTCAAACTCTTTATTCACAAATGTTTTAACTTGTTTTGTTTTTCACAGGTTGCACATTATTTGTATTTTCAATGCAAAACAGGTTATTTACAGCCACTAAGGAACTATTTTCTGCCAGATATTTGTTATGGTTTGCACAGACAGAACTTTATCTGCATTGTTTAAACAATATGGTTGTAGATTTTATTTGTTTTGTCTGATGGAGAAATCAGGTTTACTTGAAAGAGAGAGAGATGTTTTTATTCCATTATTTGAAAAAGCATCTTTGTAGGAGTCACAAAATGTTGTTTCAATAAAATTCAAAATGTACAATTTGATTGTGTCCTAAAAATGTGTCTTTCTATCAAGTGGGTTGTGAAAGAAAACGCTTGAGAAGCACTGCGTTGAACTGTTTTAAGGGGACACTGAAATGAGATGCACACAGCTGGTTTCTGTGTCCCCCGGATACCTTTTCCATTGTGTGGTGAGCTCCTCTATTTGCCGCGTTCTTTCTAAAAAGACGTCTCTGTGGTTGCAGGTGTTTTTTGTGCCTTTGAGACAGCCAGAGGCATTTTGTTCCGTGGTTGCCTGTTCTATCCGTACATAATAAAACATCATAACAAAGGTCGCATAGGTCATATATCATATGAACTGCTTGAGGGAATGTCTTCAAATGTGGCGTTCACCTGAGGTTCATGGGTGATCTGAACCCTCAGGGTGACCATGCTTCTCAACAAAAGACAAGACGATTTTTCTGCTGAAGGAATCCGGATGTACTGTGCCGTCAATGACGATGAATATTTCCAGACCCAGATGAATAAAGTAAAAACATAATTTATTTCAATCCAGGGTCAATTTTTACCTATCATAAATCACACCGCACAGCTCTGACTTCGCCTCTGGCGATTCAAAAAGAAAAGCCAAAGCAGTATTTTCCACTCGCAATCGACCAATTTGAGATTTGTAGGTTGGATCAAGAAAGATGTCAGATCACGTAAAATAACAAAAGATCTGCTAAAGTGGTAACAAAAGGGGAGGTTGTATTCTTTTATCTTTCTTCAAAGCTTCCTAGTTACATGATGGAACATTGCATCAAAACAACTGTTTCAAGAACTGCAGCTAACTGATGCAGATGAAAAGCAACTCTGCATCTGCTTGTAAATCAACTGTCAGAATGACTGTAACATTGAAACCCTTTGCCGATACGTTGTGAAAACCTTGCTCATGGCAAACTGCACCTCAACTCCTGTGTCGATCGGTAATGGAAACATTACATAAACATAGAAACACAACCCCTTCTGCCAGAATAAGCACAATATGGGAATTCATTTTGAAGCGAACACATTAGAATACACTGCAACACTTCCCCTCCCCTAATCCACCACTTGTGTCACAGCGGTGTCATTGTGATCCGAGCATCAGGGAACATGCCTTTTAAGATGGCAACAGCACCGTGCTGTTTAATCACACTTCAGATGTTGTTTTCTCCAAGTGGTTGTGTATGAGGAGAGAGTCTGAGAGCATCAATTGGCTGGTGACTCATACTGTCTGAACGGAAAACAACAAGTGTCCTCTGTAGGGCTGTCAAAGGTAACGCAATTATTGTGGACGGGATTAATGCGATAAAATATGCTTTGTTTGACCCCTGAAACCCCTGCGTGCTACTGTCAGTAAGACTGGAGAGAGCGAGCTGAAGGTGGAGAGAGCTTTTTGCATTGGAAGTAAAACAAACAGAGGCGCAACATACAGCAGAGAACTGTGCAAAGGAATTCCTGCACGTGTCAAACAGAAGGGGGACGAGTGTCAAACGGACCTTACTAAACTAAACGGCCTTACTAAACGTAAGGCGGTGAGAGAAGCTAATCGTCTGTACTCTGAGAAACTTCAACAACAGTTCTCAGCAAGTGACTCTGCTTCGGTTTCCCCACCACCCCACCTCCCCCAGCCCATCAGGGGCTCACGCCTCTGTATCACATCCCCTCACCAGCAACGACCCTCTCTATTCTGGAGAGAGACGTTAACCAGCTCTTTAAAAGACTAAACCCCCGTAAGGCAGCCGGCCTGGACTCCGTCTCCCCTCACACCCTGAAGCATTGTGCTGACCAGCTGTCTCCGGTGTTCACTGACATCTTCAACACCTCCCTGGAGACATGCCACGTACCAGCCTGCTTCAAGGACTCCACCATCATCCCTGTCCCCAAGAAGCCCAGGATCACAGGACTCAATGACTACAGGCCCGTCGCCCTGACCTCGGTAGCGACCCAGTCTCACAGCAAAACGTGTAATAGCTGCGTTGGACCAACATGGTATTCACACGCTTTCTCCCCAAAATTGTGACAATACTACGTTTTATTTTGGCCTATTCATTTACATTGCCTTGCAACTACGTCACTAGAAACTAATAAACGGAAGGTCTTCTTCCTTCTCTGATAGAAGATTATGAAAATATAACACATATTTCTCGCTAAAAATGCCATCGAAATGCATACAAATGCTGATGCTTTCTTAAAATATTGTGTTTTTCACAGATAATAGACCGACAGTCCGCCATTTTCTTTTTTTAGCTGAGGGAAAGTTGATAGTCACGTGACCTTGCAAATAAAACATTGTATTGTCACGCTTTCTCTCCAAAAGTGTGACAATACCACGTTGGTCCAACGTAGCTATTACACGTTTTGCTTTGAGACTGGGTTGCCTTTTGAACAGCTAGTCCTGTCCCACCTGAAGACCCTCACCGACCCCCTCCTGGACCCCCTGCAGTTCGCCTACAGAGCCAACAGGTCTGTAGATGATGCTGCCAACAGGCCCTCCACTACATCCTCCAGCATCTGGCAGCGTGTCATCCGCTCTGCAGGGAGGGTGATTGGCTGCAATCTGCCGTCTCTTCAGGTCTCTGAAGCGAGCTAAAAAGATGGTAGCCGACCCCTCTCACAACGGACAAAACCTGTTTGTGCCCCTTCCATCTGGCAGGAGGCTGAGGTCCATCAGGACTAAGACCTCCCGCCACACCAACAGTTTCTTCCCGTCGGCAGTCGGGCTCATCAACAGAGCCGGTCCCCCACTGACTGACTATAACATCCCACCCGTCACTTTCTTTCACACTGCACACGTCACTTTCCCTTGTCACTTTCTGCTCGCTGGTGCACTTTATTTGTAATTTTTAAATATTTTTAACTTTATTCCTTTATTTTTAAACTAACCCATAACCTTATACTACTAACCCATAGCATTATATTTTATTTTATTCCTCGTGCACTCTTGTCTTGTCATCTTTTGTCGTACTGTCTGCTGTTACGCACCAACCGCCAAGTCAAATTCCTTGTATGTCTGATATATTATGGCAATAAATGTTTCCTGATTCCTGACTTAAAGCACCGCTGTGCTAAGCTAGCTGCTAGCTGCTGGTGCGAGATCTTGCAAAGAGACCCAATGCCGTTTACGTGCCCCTATGGGGATTCTTTTTCTCTAGACTACTGAAATGCGATACACAACATTTGGTGGCTAATACGATTTTGTGCTGAAGGCAGCTATTTACTTACTATTTATAATTTCACTGGTTACTTATAAAAGCAAGAAGGTACTTGAGGCTGTACTTTATCTTCAATAATGTAACAGTTCGAGGGAACTTACATTATTGGACAATAAAGTACAGCCTCTCGTACCTTTTTTGCTTAATTAAAATACACGCTGTGTAAATACACAAGTGATTACTTGTTGATTTATAAGATTTAGCCTCTGGAAGAAAAACAAACTTTTAATTGCGATTAATCTAGACTAGATGAATTTTATTAGTACATTTTTAAAATTTTGACAACAAAAATGTTTTGACAGCACTAGACACAAGACATTATATGTGTTTGTGCGCATGGATAACAATACGCTGGTTAGAGATCTCAAAGTAGATTTATTGGATTTTCTTTATTTGTAGTGTCAGCAGAAGACAACAAGCTCCTACAAAGAACTGGTTTTATGGTTTTCATAACAGTGCCAGTATTTTATTTTTACTCTTCTGCAAAGTTTACTTTTAAGCTAATCAAGTTGTACAGAACGAGTATTTCTTGATCGTTTTATTGATCGCAACCCCGAGGTGTAAAAAAAGTGGATAAAAGGGAAATATTTGAAGTGAACTGCTCACGACTCAAAGTTGTGTCTTGCACAGATCAGACAGCATTTAGTCAAGTGTTGTGATCACTTTTTGCAAGTCAAGTCTCCCTCTCAGAAAGCATGAAATATGGACAACTCTTGCCAATTCAATGGAAACCCGACTACTTTGCACAAATTGTGGTTGCATTTGTGAAATCAGATTAGTTCAACCGCTGAATTACTTTTTGTACAGGTGGGCAGGAGGAGCTTGGGAGGAGAACCTGATGAGCGTCAGACTGTTTGTTTGTATGATCATGAGTTTAAATATCCGCACTAACTGCCTCTCAATCACTTACTCATTGCGTCCGTCTCTCTCTGTCCCCCCCCCCCCCCCATTCAGCTCATTGAGAGTGTGCGGTTTGCCATCGGGTCTCCCACTGTGTCGGCTAATTCAATGACTCAGAAGCTCCCCCTCGTCTCTCTACTGCTGTTAAATCAATGATACAAGCCGACCAGGAATTAGCCAATTACCAAATTATAGCTCCCCAGCATGTCGTTTAGCATTTAGCTCTGCAGCGAAATGGGCTTAAATACGACACTGAAGGAGCAGAGGAGGGGGCCGGCAGTGGACAGAAAGACAGAGCTGGAAAGATGAAGATGTTGCAGTACGAGTCCTGTCGTATTTATTAAAGGTCGACCTTTCGCCTTTGAAAAATATGCCTGCACACGTTACCAATGGAACTGACGCTTTGCCCGGCCAACCACACCAGTTAGAAATCCCTGGCCATAGAAAAATAAAAGGGCTCCCTGTGTCTGGTCATACCATCTTGGGTTGGGAGACTCAACAGTTCTACAGGATTACGGTGGTTTCAGAGAAACAGCAGTTGGTTGACTGTTAACCGGTGACTTTAAGCTGATGCGGCGGTTTCTAAAGTAATTTGCTGGCGTAGATAATGGTTGACAGCTAACAGTTAAGTTTGTATTTAAAATGATTAAAGGCTTTCAAAAGGACACCTACATGAAAAACGCAAGCAACCGTGGTCACCAGTTAACACAGCGGTTACGTAGTTGAACAAAACACCGGTGGTGTCTAGACTTGCAAGCCATCAAATGTGTTGAGAACCACTGGACTGTGAAGAAATACTTTAGTGTATGAAATCATTACGGAGTCAAACCGCTCTTTTTGAGGTTCTGTACATGGCCACATAGTGAAGTCATGAGGAAGGAAGGATCGCCCTCGGGTATCTCTGTCTCCACAGTGGTATGAGCAGTATTTTCAGAAGTATTTAGTAGCAGTAATATTGCAGTACCTGGTGTGTATCCTCTGTCCACGGTCAGGCTCGGGAAAGGCATCGGCCTCAGGCTGAACTTGTTGTGGGTAAAGCCGCAGGACGGTGAAGGCAGGATACCAGGGTACTGAGAGGAGTCCATAGCCGGCACCGGGATGGCACTGACCACCGCTGAAACAGAGGGGCCAACAGTCAGTAAACCAGGCTCCTCAAGCAGAGGGGCCAACAGCCAGTAAACCAGGCTCCTCAAGCAGAGGGGCCAACAGCCAGTAAACCAGGCACCTGAGGCTGAGGGGCCAAACAGTCGGTAAACCAGGCTCCTGATGCAGAGGGGCCAACAGCCAGTAAACCAGGATCCTCAAGCAGAGGGGCCAACAGCCAGTAAACCAGGCTCCTGAGGCTGAGGGGCCAAACAGTCGGTAAACCAGGCCCCTCAAGCAGAGGGGCCAACAGCCAGTAAACCAGGCTCCTGAGGCTGAGGGGCCAAACAGTCAGTAAACCAGGATCCTCAAGCAAGAGGGGGCACAACAGGCCAGTAAACCAGGCTCCTCAAGCAGAGGGGCCAACAGCCAGTAAACCAGGCTCCTCAAGCAGAGGGGCCAACAGCCAGTAAACCAGGCTCCTCAAGCAGAGGGGCCAACAGCCAGTAAACCAGGCTCCTCAAGCAGAGGGGCCAACAGTCAGTAAACCAGGCTCCTGATGCAGAGGGGCCAACAGCCAGTAAACCAGGATCCTCAAGCAGAGGGGCCAAACAGTCGGTAAACCAGGCTCCTGATGCAGAGGGGCCAAACAGTCAGTAAACCAGGGTCTGGGGGCAGAGTGGCCAAACAGCAAAGAAACCAGGCATCTCAGTAAACTAGGCTGCACACACAGCATAAGTATATATTTCAGTAGATTAAAGACCTGATAAAACAAGGTGCATTATGGAAATCATATATAAAATCCTTTAAAATGTTCAATATTAATATCAATCCCTTCTGCTCATTGATTGGCCACATAATTTATGACAGAGATTTATGAGCAGTAGGTAATCAAATGTATCATCTCACAGTATAAATATGTAGATAATACTACTGTGTAAGAGTTGGTCACACACACTCTTTGTGTTTGCTGTCTGGTTTTCCATTCTGTTTTCAGGTGTTTCCTGTGCGTTAAATCCATTCGTCCATCCATCTCTGTCCTTTCGTCTTGTTTCTCTACCTGTTGCAACCTTCATCATCAGAGTTGGTTTTTGTCATGTCATTACCAGCATTTCGGCCTGGTCTTTTGATCTTTTTCTTTTCTTTAGTCAGTTCTTCTGTCTTCCATTTTCTAGGTTTTCTGTTCGCTATGTCTTCAGTTCTTAGTAAAAATGTGAATATTGAGTATTTCACATTGTCCAATGGCAGACTAACTAAGTTGTTTCCTCTGAAGACAGGAGTTCATCTCACATATGTTAGAAAAAGAGTACCTTCACGACATCATGAGCTAGTGAGGCGCTACATTACGTCGCTTTGAGCTCCGGTTGTCCTCTTTCATTCCCGTCTGGGCCCTTTGTGGTGGGTGACCACTCACGTCATGTCAAACTCTTTCAATTGAATTGCAAGCGGCTGACACGAAAAACAGAGTGCTCCTCCAGCCCCATCACCCGTCTGGTTCTACTAAACCCCAATCAATACCAGTATTGATTGGAAAGTATTGACAGTTTTGAAGCAGCAAGACTGTAATCAGCAGCTTTAGAAAGTGTGTGTGTGTGTGTCTCTGTGTATGCTGTTTACAGTGTTTGTACTATGATCATCTAAAGAGAAGCAGGGTTTGATTACAGTAGCAGCACAACCACAGATGAGCAAGTTTGAACAATACGTTATTGAGTAAGAATACTGATGACGGTGGTGCAGTCAGCTACAGGCTACAAGCAAGCGGAGACAGATGACGAGGACATCTATGTTCCTGAATGTGGGACACAGGTGTAGATAATAAGAAAGAGAACTGAAGACATAACAGACAGAAGAAAGAAAATGGAATACAGAGGAAATGACTAAAGAAAAAGAACAAAAAAACAGGCAGAAATTAGATGACAAAAAAGACTCAAAAAGAGAAAGGAAAAGAAAACCATAAATACTGATGATAGAGGTGGTAACAAGTATATACAAGCTTGATCAAAGGAGAAAGATGTCATGAATGGTTTTAACACACAGGACAGAACAAGCCGACAGCAGACACAAAGAGATCAAAGCACAAGATAAGAGGAGGCTTCCGTCGAGCAGACGAGGGGGTGAAGAGTCCTGCTGTGCGCAGTTTCCAAATGCACAGGTGAAAAATCATACCTGCTATTGATTTCCTGTTGGCTATGTGAAGAGTTATACTACAATCTGAAAATGAAGTGATCCCCATCCAATACGCACTGACTGTGTCCTTTCTCTGGGACTCTTCACGCCTTTGTGCTTTGTGATTTCAACCATTGAAATGTGAGGATTCTCAGCAATAGGTGCGTTTTAAATGAATATGTTAGAACAATTAATGCAATATTACTACACTGTAATTTGAGTTTTTGTTTTGTTACATTGAGCCTAAATGGTGCATTTACCAGAGAACATATGTTATATTTCTGTGATTTCGCTTTATCCCTTTTATTAAGAAAATAGAAGAAAACATCAAAGCTATTGGCGGAGGTGCAGGTAAGTATAGCTTGGCTATTGTTTTAAAATGATAGAACACCGTTTGGTGTTTGTGTTGGTTTGGGTGACGCACTCTCCAAATAACTGAAACGAACTGGCAGACCCAAATTTTGGCTTAAAATCCTGAGGTTTTTTCACAAAACATAAGAGTCACTATGAGTCATTTGTTTAAGGAGATTAGTTAAAAGAACACAAGGTATATGCATTAACTATATTATCAATGGGCTGATCTATATAACAAAATAGGCTATTTATCATGATTCATATGGTGCATAAAATAGTATGCACTCCCAATGAGCCAGAATGAAAGGCTCTGTTTCCTTTCATAACCAATCAATTGTGGAAATGTGAAGATTCAACGGTGAGTTTGGCAGTTGAATCAACCTCCATTGACTTATTGACTCCTGGTCATCCCTTAATTGTATATTATGGAACATAATAATCCTTCTGTTTCTTTTAAGGTTCCCTCCTATGGGTTATCTTCTTGATACTGTAAATGGAGCGTCACAATACTGGTTGTGTTTGTGTTCATTCCTAATTTGGTATGCAAAAATATGCTTTTTATCAATTAAAAAAGGTCTATTTTTTGTATTTGTCAGTTCAGGAATGGCTTTAATTGCTGAAGAATAGCTTTACAAATTTCATTATAGCTAAATCAGAGGCCACAAAGCCATAACTGAAGTAAAAGAATGAATGAAGGCGGAATGAACGCCAAACAAAGTCTGTATCACTGGACTTTGGTAACAGAAAGCAAATAAGAAAGAGAGAAACACGGAGCAGAGTAGAGGGCAGGTCTGTGTGTTGGCAGAAGAAGCCTGAAGGCCTTTTTCTGTTTTACCGTGACCCACATATCACACACGCGTTAATGTAAACACACAGGAGGGCTCGTCACATGCTGGAGAACATGATCAGTCACCTACTGACTCGCTCTCTCCAGGAAAGAACGCCTGCCGTCTTAACCTAATTGTTTCTCTTCAGTTAGACAACTGCAGTAAACAACTCGACAGAAACACAATGCAAAGGGGAGAAAAGGAGGACACAACTAAAGTTTCAGTGGTGTCACAGCACATACACACAAATCCAAAAAGAGAGAAGGCATTAATTCAACTTTAATTAACTCATGGGAGTGACGTGGAGTTAGAGGTGTTACACCGACCGGGGCTCAGGGTGGATAAATGGATATTTATTGCCAACCAAAGGGAATTTTAGGTCACTACCATAGTGGCCGACGATACAACAGAGAATGTGGTCTAGAAGTGCTAGACCACATTCTCTATTGTATCGTTTATTGTATCTATTGTATAGAACTGTTGTTCTAGACCACATGTCTTTTGTGACTTGACTTTTGTAAAGCTTCCCATCGTTTGCAAAGCAGGCTCAGTGCTACTTGTCATATTTCAACGCTTGAACAAAAAACACCAGCAGCTGAAAGCCTCGTGCATCTTATACAAATGTTAAAGGGTTCCTAGTGTGCCAGTATGAAGACACGGCGTGGCTCGAGCACTTCACTCCAGCCAGGCTTGGAACCATGGGCGATAAAGCTCCACAGTCTGGTTGTCTTGGTTCCTGAGAGTCACAGCGGGTCCTCTGGCACCTTTAGAAGATGTCTTTTGCACTGTCGTCAGTGGTTGGCGGTTATTAGTAGGAAGGTTCAGGAAATCTATGCAGTTTCTTTATTTATCTCATGTTTATGTAGCAAAAGCTCTACCCACGCAACAGGAGTATTGACCAAAGCAATGTGATCTGCAATCTCGATGCTGATATAGTCTAAGCCCTTGTCCGAGGTCGTTGGTGCATAGAAAAAACATCCACCCATCCATCCATTTACAGTATGCTAATCCATAGCGCTTTCCCCAGCAAAGCTTTCCTTCCTTGGGATCCCTTAGGCATTCAAGGCCAGACATGATAAAAAAAATCCCAGCAGCATTTTGTGGATCTACTCCTGACTGGTAAGAGCAGCTTTGGGATAGAAAACTGCTGTGGATCAAGGATGTGCGTTGGCAGTAGTCTCTCCAAGCACTTTACCAAGACCAATGGCCACGTGGTTGGGGGTTGTTCAGCCCTGAATGATGGTTGTTATGGGGAAAGGCCTTATTTTGGAGTGCAACGATTGTGTTCTATTGGAAGGAGCAACTAAAGAAATGACAGAGAACTAGCAATTTAGACAGTTTAAGCCTTTGCAGCCTCACGTCCTCCTCTGGGATGGCAATTGGTTGATCATTCCCCTCCTTGATCCCATGGAGTTCATTCTGAAGCCTTTCTGTTGCACTTCAGGGCCATGCTGAGTGTGAAATAGACAATACTTTCCCGGTTTGAATATGGCCCCCCCTCCTTTTCCTCAGAGTCCTTTTGCCTGGGCTTTTCCCTCCACTCAGTAGCTGTGTCTCATTACATTTACATTACATTACAGGTCATTTCGCAAAGTCTCAAAGTCGCATCCTTGTAGCCTGCAGCCTTCAGCAGCCTTCGTAGACCTGGGCTGGTCCTCCAACAATCTGAACCGAGCGGTCTCTGAAATGGGGCGGTCTGGCCTACGGGGGGACTTGCTGCTTGCGTTATCAGCTTTACCTCCGCTGCTCCCGTTGCCTAGCAACCTGCTGAGCTTGACAATAAAAGCCTTAAAACCGATGAGTACTCCTAACCGGCTCCTGGAGGGCTGCATCCCCCGATCGCATTCAGAGGAGCCGACGGATTGGGACACGCGAGTCGCAGCCGAGACACAGCTTATGTCTCATTTCATTGGCTGCATCCTTATGAGGACTGAGCACTGAGCGACGGATCACAAAAGACCCCAAAACCAGATGCACAAACTGTCCTGCCTGCTGCAGACACTAGCACACAATCTGGTCCAGCACAAACTCAGGGGCTTGTTCACATGATCGGGGTGGTGGGTTTCCAAGTAGTGGGCACCATCCATCACACACTGGGGTCTCTCCAGACCGACCATAGTGATTGTCCTGGGACGGATACGCCTTGTTGCACTTTCTATTTTTTTTTCCTTCTGTTTAGTTGTGTTATTTTTGTTGCTTTTTATATGGCCTTTAAAAACTAAAACCTAGGAAAAGGTCTGTTGCAATATGCGATAAAATGACACATCGCACACTCTCTGAAATCACGTGCAATCATTTTTGGTGCTGCGATATTAATTTTACATCTAAATGAACGTCATCAACATTTAAGTTGATCCTCCGTCCCTTTTGCTTGTGGAAAGGGGGGCGGGGCTTATGCAGCGCGTCACAGAAACGACACCGACAGGTGAAGAGAAGCAGTGAACCCAACTAAGCTAACTAAGCTAACATCTCACCCAAAACAACAACCATCCGCCCGTCTTTAACCTGAACTACTGTCGGTTCCTCTTTGTATTTTGAACTAAGGTATTTTTATTACTATGTTATTATATTGTCATTTTGTTATCAGTGGCATAAAATGGTTTGAAAATCGCAATAATATCGCATATCGCAATAAATGTTAGTCCAATAATTGCACAACAAGAATTTGATATGGTGACAGCGCTACTTAGGAACAGTTTTCCATTTACTGGTCAGACAATTGACTCTTAACCTTGACCTGCAAAAGAGAAAGAGACATTCTTCAGAGGACGAGAAGGACACTTTGTCTTCCACTCAAGGATGAAAATGTGAAGAATTCTTTCTCCCATCCTGAGGATAGTGTTGGGAACTGTACTTTATCAATGAAAGGACCATCACCACAATCTGCCCAGTGTGACTTTGGGTTTCTGTGTCACAAAGGAAGAGTTTCTCTATCTGACACATGCGCACGTCCACGTACAAGATGTGCTGTTTGGTAGTTTCATAGACTCCCCCCTGCTGCCACTCTCTCTCTCCTCATGATTGTTGTTGTTGTGTTTAGATAGCAGCTCATGATTTTACAGTATTTATCGTTGATTTAAATTTATCAATTTATTTAAATTTAGTATTGACATAATTAGTATTGTTAGGGTGTAATAAACTGTGATAATAATGTAACCTGTGCTAGAAATCCCAAACTTAAAGGGTTGTGTAGTAATGTAAGTAAAGTAACAGCACTTTGATGACTGACAGATTGAGGAACGACGTTCATGAGAGACTTTAGTGCAGCCAGTTCTGTCCAGCTGTTCATTGTTGTGCACGTGATAACAAAGGACTTGCACATGAACTTTAGCTGTCTCTCTTTCTCTCTCTCTTTCTCACATTTCTTCTTCATTTCCTTCTCTGTCTTCCTTCGTCCTGCTCATGCCTCCCTCCTCTGTCCTCTGAGTACTTATCTATCCAGTGATTATCTGTGTGGGAAAGAGTGTGTGTCCATTTTCCCCCAACTTCACTCTTTTTTTACATTTCAAGCACTCGGGGACCAACCGAGAGGAAAAGCGAGAGATGAACCATGTGACATTATCATCATCATCACTTCGTGACGTTCCACACAGCAGCAGGCCCAACTAATGGAAAATAAGTGCTGGGGGTGGTTCCTGGATTGTGCATCAGTGGTCCTCAGAATTAACCATTGAAAAACATTTGATGTGGGAATTGGCACTAAAATCGTGACGTTTTGATCATAAATATTTGTCAGGCATCAAGAAGAGAAAATACCTACAAAGACACCATTAATCACCAGTAATCCGTTCATTTCAAGCCCCCTCAGAGGTTAACATGCCAGCGGTGTGCGTCGGACTTTCTCACATTTGTGGTTTTGAGTACTTTGAGTACAAAGTGATGACGTTTCCATCAGCCTCCCCAAAACTTTTATTTACTGCTGTTAGCAAATATTAAGGTGCTTACACGCAAAACAGTTAATGGAGTTCCAGGAAGCCAGTGAACGAATACACACACACACACACACACACACACACACACACACACACTGTGTTACTTACGTGTGTTGCTGGGCTGAGAGTCCATCGGAATCATCATCTTGCCTCGCGTTCCCCTCCTGCCGGCCAGGGAGCGATCCAGAGTGGAGATGCTGCTCGAGGCCTCGTCGCCATCAGCTCCTGGAGCACCAACACGTTCCAACATGAAAAGCAGGGATTCACACGTTTTCTCTTTTGCTGCTAAAAGATCATTTAAAAATGCGCTCAGCTAACTATTTCCACTAGGAGAAATTATTTATATACTTAATTAGCAATACCGGCTTCATTATACAGACACTATAATCAGACTCATAATGGGTATAAATGAATCATTTAGCACCGCAGAAAGGAAGATAAGATGACTTTTTATATTCAGCATGCAGATTCTAAATGCTATTTAATATCTAATTTTAGATTTGCATGTTGCCAGGCAACAAGATGAGCCCCAACATAATATGTGATACACCTAAAGGGTCACACCCAAACTCAAATAAAAGTTGATAAACAGTGCAAAAATATACTTAATGAAGGGATATGATAAAAGTATTACATGTAAACAAATACGGTTGGTGGATAAGTGTATAAATGGAGGAATTCATTCATCCCGTACCTGAGTGGCTGCTCTTGCTGCCCATGTGGCTCTCTGATTGGCTGTGGGCCACCTGGGGGAGGTCCTGGCAGGACTGAAGGGGCGAATCGTGTCCGGATGGGGCCACGCTGGGAGCTTTCTCCATGTTCTTCATCTCCATCTCCTCGTGGTGGATCCAGAGGTCAGGGGGCCGAAGGTCCTTCTGGCTGCCCTTCCTCTTGCTGGCGCTGTGGCTCGCTCTCTTCCTGCACAGAGGGCGAGGCAGGTGAGGACGTCAGTGGGCAGGAAGCATGAAGGTGTTAAAGGACAACACTGTTTATCATGGGTGGATGCTATTAAGAGTCATGTCGCTAGGCAACCAGCTAAATACTGGCAAAACATAAACACTCTGCACCCACCCACTGTGAAAGCACTTGAATTGCTCATGTATGCTACAATTTATACGGACAAGCTGGAACAACATGAAGACAGACTAATTATGTTGGTTTATGCTGAGAGGCTCATTTAAATTTAAAATTGAATGTTTGTTTTTGTGAAGATATAAACTGGATTACACGATGCCAACTGACATGTTACCAACAGTACTAAGTACTGTCTAAGAAAGTATCATGAACCTGAACAAAGAATGATTCCGATATAGAGATGAATCAAAAGTAAAACATGAATAATATAAATGAAATACTAAAGAAATAAAGTACGAGAGGCTGTACTTTATCGTCCAATAATGTAAGAGTTCGGGTGGCGTTGTTAGACAACCCTCGCTAGCTAAAGCTAAAATGTCAACTAACGGTCTGTACCGAACAGCAACTGTACTTTATCGCTCAATAATGCACCGTGACTCACTCTCAACCAATCAGAACGCTGGATTTCATCTGCCCGTATTATAATAAAATATAAGACATCATAAACCAGACACATGCAGCCAGAAATCAAATGGACTCTCGTTACTAAACCGTACCACCTGAAATATCATGAGCTGATTTGTGGAATAACATTTAAAACAAACCAGCCTGTCACACCTGTAGGTCAAGTTGGGTCTTTGTCCCGTTTCCACGTTTGTTTTGTGACTTTTCTTTTGTAAATGAACTCTCCTCTCGTTTCAGGTTCCTTGCTCTTCCTCATGTGTCACCAGTCTGATTGTCTTCCCTGATTCCGTCCACCTGTTCCCACACGTCCCTCATGTGTACTTAGTATATAGATATATAGTCTGCGTGTCCCCTCGTCCTGTCCCCTCGTCCCCTCGTCCTGTCCCAGTGCAACGTGATCTCCAAAACCTGTTCGTAAAATTGTATACGAAAATCTTGAACATACAAATTCGTAACAATTTGGGGTGTAACGATTCATCCACTGAATCGATTAATCGATTTATGTTCCTGCGATACAACTGAGTCGATCTGTGCTCCGCAAATCGGCATTCCGGACGACATATATCGATTACAAATCGATTGAAATGGTACATAATCGATTGTATCGATACTTGGAAATTTAAGCACAAAAACGGCATGGATGCGTGTTTGTTTGTGTGTTTTTTCGACGCGTTAAACGTTACTGGATTCAGTCTGCCTGTCTGTGATGTCATCAGTACGCAGCGGGAGCTGCGTGAAACTCTGAACAACAACAAAACACAGCGTGGAGGAGACGACTGCGAGCGAGACATTTACAAACCAACTTATCGATCCAGCGCGTGGAAACATTTTGGCTTTTGCAAACACGGAGGTGTTCTAAATAAGTCGCTCGCTGTTTGTAGAATATGTAGAAGCCAAATAAAAAACCACGGAAACATGACGAATCTTTCCGGCCGTCTACTAAGGCGCCGTGGGATTAAACAACGCCGACAGTCAGGACCTCTAGTAGCGTCACCGCTGCAGCAGCAGGTAACTCAGCTCTGCAGACGCCTCAGGCCTCCAGCACCAAACTCAACATCACAGGAACAAGTTTATCTGTAAACATGCGACCCTACGATGAGGTGGAACATCCGGGGTTCTGTGAATTGATCCAAACATTGTGTAATTATTGTGTCATTTTTACATTGAGAATGGCACTTGATTCAAATAAAAGGTTAATACATTTGCCATTAATTCTTGTTTGCTTGTTTATAATATCCATAATTAATTTAAACCTGATTTCCTTACAAGAAACAACAGGGATCTCAGACACTTTGCCTGCACTGTCCAGTAAAGTTACTGAATTGATTTCAAGTCACTGAATCAAACCGAATCGAATCGTTCTAAATGAATCCAGATCGTCCATGAATCGAATCAGCAACCATGAATCACGATTCGAATCGAATCGTTGTTAAAATGAATTGTTACACCCCTAGTAACAATACATAGGAACTGGCGGTGGTTAACCACTCCCCCTTGAGTGAACGTCTCTCCGCCATGTTGGATTTTTTGAAGGGGTTAGGGTTAGTATTCTATTCTTACAAGTTAACATTGATTTCTCGTTAAAAATGCAATCATAACAAGTGTGTCTACGGGGTGCAGGTCCCCGTTCACTTTGAATAGGGCGACGTCATCAGTTGCAGTCCGTATTTATTTAGTATGTGTCACTACGAATTTGTATGTTCAAGATTTTCGTATACATTTTTACGAACAGGTTTTGGAGATCAGGCTGCCCAGTGTGTCATGTCCCTTCGTCTTGCACACCCGCCTCATGTTAGTATCAAGCCCAGGTCGTAGTTTTGTTTGTCCCGAGCACGTTATGGACTCCTTAGTTGGCCTGGTGCCGTTTAGGGCTCCGCAGCTCCTCGATTTAGTTTAGAGCCTTTTTTGTGATTGATTGTTTTGTTATTTCCTCTGTAAGAGAGATTTTGGTTTTACAATTGTTGACTATTCAGCTCTCTTAGTTTAGCCAGAACATTTCCCCGTTCACCCCTCTTTTTGGTTCCCAGGGAAATAAAAGCCTCAGCTGAACTGCTATTCTGCGTCCGAGTCCTCAACAGCCCCCCCGGGACACCCGCTACTGAATAGCAGCATGTGAAATGTCACAAACTGGGTAAATAATTAAAACCGATGTTTTCTAGTAATTCTAAAGCCATCAGATGTTTATGAAATCATCACCATAGAAAAGGATTTATTTTTGTCTGCAAGGATAATTATTAGTATTCACAATCTATAATTAGATATTTGTAGTAATAATTCAATCTTTACAGTGATAATTAGATCTTTACAGTAATAATTAGATCTTTACAGTAATAATTTGATCTTTGCAGTGAGTGGTACTAATGTATTTCTGGAAAGGAGAAGTGTGCCGTAGTGTCTTCCACACGCTGCCTGTACAACCAGGACGGAAATGGGAAAAATTATAACTCAAAAGCAAAAACGAACTGGTTCAAAATGCTCGTCTTACTTCCTCTGCTGGGCGGAGGAGCGGCGGGTGCAGATGAGCGCCACGATGACGACCACGACCGCAGTGACGGCGCCCACGGAGACCACGATGATGACCAGGAGGTTGCTGTTCTTTTGGGGCGTGGCGCTGCCGTGCGGTGGACGCATCTGACCAATTGGGGACTCTGAAAAAAACGCAGGGAATTATTAATCATCAGACAAAAAGTTGATTTAGTCGGATCTGTGGCAGATAACTGTGATAACTGAGGTCTCTGTTTAACTTAATAATTATGGATCTAGTTGACATTTCATTATACTGTTTGCACTCCATACAACTTTTCTACTACATTCGACATTGAATGAAACTACTGCCGTATTGATAACACACTTTAATGTGGTATTTACTTCTCATATTAAGCAGAAATATTAGTTCCAGTAGGACTACAAATCTTTTTTGGAAAAATGTCCAGATTCTGTTTTGTTCCTTGTAAGAATAAAAAGGGAAAATCTTTTCCAATAATAACACACTACATTTCAACTAAATGATTTCATTTTGATATTTGACTCCCATGAAGGGTGTTGTGCACATCATCCTTGATCGACACGACACTTTGCTCTGAAATTTTGTATTCGTTCATTCTATAAATCTGTTATTGCATCAAAAATGTTGAGAGGCGAAAGGCAGCAAAGAAATTGGAAGTGAAACATGAGCACAGCTGATTTATCTCCATGATGCCATCAGTCCACCTTGTTTGAATACGGTCAACCACAAAATAAAGTTCTTATTTAAAGGACAAAACAATGCAGTGTAGAAATGCTTCTGACCTGAACAAACAAAGGAAATCCTCCAAAATTAAACCCCAAGTGGTTTGGCTGAAAACACAAAGATGCTGCTGTTGCTGCAACAATCAATACACAATGTTTGTGTGCGCACGTAGCTCAGTGTGTGTGCATGTGACATGTGTAAAGGGAGAAAGGGGAATTGATGACAAGCTCTGTCATTCATTAACTTGACCTTGGAGTAGAGAGAGAGCGCAAATAGGAGGATAGGGGAGAAACATACGTCTGGGAGGAGAGGGATGATATGAGGAGAGAAAGAGAGTGAGGGGGAGGAAGAAGCAGGAAATAGGGGGAGGCGCGATGGAGAGGAGTAAGGGAGAGGAAAGGGCAGAGTGGAGAGGAGAGATGGAAGAAAATGTGTGAGGCTCTTTTCCTCCTTCTCTCTCTCTCTCGTCTCCCTCAATGAGGAGCACAATCCATCACAGCTTACAGCTGAAGCACATCGGCCGTAATATCACTTTCTAGCTTCTCCTTTTCTTAAAAGTTGCATTTGACCTTTCTCCTTCTGTACGTGTTTATTTGAATACATTTTAAACAGTTTACAGACATTTGCTCCTTTTAAAGTGCCAGCGTAAAGGTGGAGATCATTAACAGTCAGATATCTGCGGGTATGGACGTAATCTGAGGAGTTAGCAACTTGTGAAAAGAAGAGCTGGACGGATGGATCAACTGGAAGCGACATCATATCATATTTGCATCAATGGGCAAAAGTGTTATTTAGTCAATTATGGTCCTAACGTCTATTCCTAACCACTATTCCTTGACCTCTGTGGAAAACACCACGGGGTCAAGGAAAGACGGTCCTGCAGACAACACAAAACAAGCAGGTTCAAAGTGTTACTTTATTATTTATAGTTATACTGTTCGTATATATACGAACAGCTCTTATCACGGCGGCCACTACTTCCACGTTGTTAGGAACATTGCAAAGCAAATTCCAAATTCAAATAATTATGGATCTGTTTGTAGAAAGCCAACATGGAAATTGGACTTATCCAAAGATGGTGACGGAGCACACTAACGTCAGTCCACCACCCAATGAGTGACGATGACTACGTCCACTTCCGACGTACAGCATGTTCCTCAAAACAGAGCTGCAAAGGACAGCTGGACTCCCTCGTACCACCTTCCACACGCCATCGCGAGTCTTCGTTACGCTCAACCCCATTTGTGCTTGTTTTGTTCCCCAAACCCTGATGAGGTCGGACGGAGGTCTGATATGACACTCCAACTTCCAATCAGCCACCACTGTACCGATCTGCCGTGTCCAGTCCAAATGAAACTATCCCCCTGATGAGGTGCTTAGAGAAACTGATTCTCTATCAGCAACATCATATAAGCTTCCCTGGAGCCTCACCAGTTGCAAACAGAAGTCGGTTATTTTGAACACCAGCCACACCTCCTCCACTCTGAAAGGACGTTCTAGCTCTTTATAGTCGTCATTACGCCGCTCAGCTTTCAATCACGACCACTCGCTAAGTCCTTCGCTCTGACGGAATGTAAAAAAAGAAAATAGGTTCACTATCAAACGTATTTGTTCTCCTGCCGACTCTGAAGGGTATTTGCAACGCTAGCTCGCCCTCCACAAACGGGTGTGCTGGTTATCACCGTCGCCTCACAGCTAGAAGGTCCTGGGTTCGACTCCACCCAGCAGCCTTTCTGTGTGGACTCTGCAGGTTCTGTCCGGGTACTGCGGCTTCCTTCCACAGTCCAAACACGTGCTCTGGGGATTTGGTTGATTGGTGACTCTAAAATTGCCCGTAGGTGTGTGGATGTCTCTGTGTCGGTCCTGTGATTGTCTGGACACCAATGCAGGGTGTCCTCCGTCTCCCGCCCGATGTAGGCTGGGATTGACTCCAGCCCCCAACGGCCCCCAACGGCCCGCTATGAGGGGTAAGCGACTTTCAAGATGTGACTGAGCTCCCAATAAACGGCAGTGCTTTGGTTATTAAATGTCCCAGAAAGAAGTCATAAGCAGCTTCTTTGCAGTTCAGCTTTAAAGTGCCTTTCACCGTGCACGCCAGGGACCAGGGGGCGGGGCATCCCGTGTGTGGCGCCCAGTGCAGGGAGCAGTGACAGACAGGAAACAGGAAATACGGTAGGGGCCGTGGTTTGCAGATCCCTGAGCTGATGACGCGTGGAAAGTCCGGTCGCGGTCTCAGCCAATCATGAGCCTGAACGGTTTTAGTGACGCATGGACAAAATGGCGGAATTACAAACACTGGACTGAAAATATTGTGAGTCTCTCTGGGGTCTGATTGGGCAGGATGACTCAGTTACACCAGACTGCCGGGTTTGTTTGTTGAGGCTCTATTTATTACATTACAGGTCGTTTTAGCTGACGCTTTTATCCAAAGCGACTTACAGTGTATGGGTTAAAAGTGTAATGTAACAAATTGCTGTAAATTTACGGTGCATTTCTAACGGTATCTTACAGTATGTCATAATAACTGTAACATACAGTTAAATTTCCATCCCTTGCTTGTAAATTAACGGCCAATGTCATGAATAAACAGTTAAAGCTGTCAATTTACAATAATAGCAGACTACCGTAATTCAACTGCATGTTACATATATTTTATGAAGTGGTGGAAATACACAAAGAAGTGCAGTGAATCACAATCCATCTGCATCTGTTGTAGGTTAATGTATGGAAGCCCATGTCAGCCACTGAAAAACAGGTCCTGTAAGTCATTATAATGAGATAGTATCTCATGAGATACGATTATGACTTTGACTTACAGGACATTACTATACATGCAGCTGTCACTTTTACCCAAAACGCCCATTTATGTAGAGTAATTGGGGGTTAGGTGTCTTGCTCAGGGACACTTCGACTTGGCACAGGGAGCAGCCAGGATTCAAACCACCAACCTTGTGCTGCACAGCACACCCTCCCTATCCCATGCGCCGCCTTCACCGAAATGTGTTTCTAAATATTTTAAAATGCAAAAAAATTTAAATGCAAAAGTATATGGTTATAAGTAAACGGTAACATTCTGGTATTTATAACACAAAAACAGTAATCGTATGGTAACAAACTGTAATCCAATATACAACAACACACCGTATATTACGGTAGGGCACTGTAAGTAAGCACAGTAACCCATTTTACGGTAACATAGTGTAAAAACCATTTACTATTATCCCGTAAAAAAACGGTAAATTCCTGGCGTCTTTGCTGCCAGTAAAATACCGTTAATTTACGGTGACATTTTTGTATGAGTGTAGCTTTTCTTTTCTTTTTGCCCGTGGAGCAATTAGGGGTTAGGTGTCTTGCTCAGGGACACGGAGCAGCCGGGACTTGATCTACCAACCTTGCGGTTCCCTGCGCACCCTCTCTACCCCTGTGCCATGATGACCTGTTTGATTCTATATTTTTGTGTGCAATTGACACGGACTGCAATGGGTTTTGTTTTAGGTTTCGTTATAAAATCAAAATTGATTTGATTTTAATTGAACCATCTATCCACACTTTACATGTAGCTGATATTGGACCCTTTCTCAGAAGATGCAACAAATCAACGGCACTAAAACCTAATAAGGAAAGTATAGAGTAATCAAACCAATGTAATGGTAAAGTCCACACTGAGTGTGTCTCTGCATGCCAAAGACACCAGCATTGTATCACAACGTGGTCGGCTTCCTGAAGAGAGCAAAGCTGTGGTCAAGTGACTGCAGAGACCTCTGCTTTTATGAAGTGGATCATTACTCTCCAGTGACGATGTGGACAGAGGTCCAGTCATGTCGGTCGCATTGGGACATTTGACCAACTTGGTTCATTACTTTCAAGCCTAATCTGCTGATATGGAGGAGAAACCTGCACAGCTGGATCAAAGCTGTAACACGTTGTAGACGTCGCAACATGCGATAAAATGACACATCACACACTCTGAACTCTGCGATATTCATTTTACATCTAAATGAACATCACCAACACTTGTATTACTATGTCATTATATTGTCATTATGTTATCAGTGGCATAAAATAGTCTGAAGATATCACAAATCACAATAAATGTTGGTGCAATAATCGCACAACAAAAATGTCATATCGTGACAGCCCTCGTTGTCTTATTCACTGTGAATTGTAAATCCTACAAGTATCATTATCTTTAGGTCACGTCACGCAAAGACCTCATAGAAGCGCTGGCCATGTCTGGCTAGACTTAGAAAACAACAATTTTCTCTGTTCAACAAACATTCATAGTACAAAGAGGATAAGTCTTAGTAATGTTGATACTTTACCTCTAGCACTACCATCGGTACCAGTACCAGTACCATGGTCACTATCCAATGCCTCCAGTACTGTTTCAAAATCAACAACATTCACTTCAGTCTCAGCAATTCACTTTTTTAGTGTTTGCAAGCAATGTTGGCTGCTCACTATTGAAACCCAGATGGGGAACATGGTGAACCTCGTACCTGCTGGACATCATCAGAGGGGCACCATCACTGTGAGCGTATCAGCATGCTGACGCTAGCATTGAGCCCATTGCAGCGCGCTGCACACCGGGGCTACAGGGCTGCTTACATTCTTACTTCTCAACTGTCTTCATCTTCACTTTGCATTTGAAGGTTAGATTATGTCATTAAATCATAAACAGGGAAAAGGCTTTGTGTACAAATAACTTCACACAAATACAAGGAAAATGATGATTTAGCACACACAGGTGTCAAAACCCCTTTGAACTGCCAGATATGTTGTTTAGTAGTACGAAGCCCCCCCTGCCGTGACAAAAGCCGACTTCCCTCCTCCGGAGGAAAGAAGACATTTTCTTGAATGCTTTCAGCACCATAGACGAGATGGAAAACGCGTCCCCACTTTCCCAAACAAAGAGAGATGGAAGCAAAGCCACAGCTTGTTAGAGAATCACTGAACTCATCATAAAAACCATGGTCAGAATGATAAGAACTACCTAAAATGAACATGAAACCAGCTCCCTCCTGCTAACATGAGACCATCTCTATTGGTGAGGCGTGTTGTGTGGTCCACTTTGACATATAGTCTATGGCCCCAGGTGGCTCCTGTGTGCAGGCACCTGTGCAGATACAGACCGACCCGCAGGACCTGATGCAAAGCGTCTGACCTGCAACGTTCTCCGTGGGTCGTTTTTCACGTGACAGCAAGATGGGCAAGATAACTGATGACACTGTGTTAAAGATGAAATACGGTGGAGGTGATCAACGACGCTCTGCCCTCCATGACCCGCCATAAAGCCCAGAGGAGGTCAGAGGTCAGAGAGGACAGATTTATGATCGACTATGGCAGCAGCACAAAGCGTCCTCAGACAACACACAATCAATGCTTTCCAGATTCAGACCCTGACCTCTGACCTCTTTGCGGGGGGAGGAGCTTTTCTTTAAACAGAACTAAGCGGAAAGTTATGGCCCATGGTTTGTGTTGTTAGCAACAGCTTTAGCAGTAGTTTCAGCAGATCATTTCCTTTAGCATCATTGTACTAAAGTTAAGCCTGATACAAGCAAAGCAAATGCATAACCACTATCTTTAATGTTAGCGTTGACAGGTTTATAACAATTAGTATTAACTTTACCATGAATGATACGTTTGGCATCATATTTGAATCTAAGCTCTTGTTTGCTACAGAGTTTACTGCATGTTAGTAATTAAAAATCCAGCAGAACAATCCTACTGGCTTTTGGCCTCGATCATTAGAAATATCACGGTCGCATAATATCATTGATGTTGAAGACAACTAATATCATTACTAAATAATTCATAAATACTAACATTAAAATTGGCCTTTCTTTGTACACTGATTTCAGAGACAGTAATATGTCAAAACTATATACTATAAAACAAATAATGATGTTCTTGTGTAAATATGAAAAGTGTAAATAAGAAGTAGTAACAATGTATCCTCTTCAGGTTTATGACCTTAAATTGTATATTGTTTCTGGTAAAAACGAGAAGCTAATTTTCTCTCCTGTCATTGTCCTACTGATGAATTATCATCAGTAATGTTGTTGTTGTTCTTCGCATTATATTTCAAACCACAAGCAGGTAATTGATGCGCCACAACACTCTTTCCTTCCTCCTCCATAAAGGTTATTTTCTGCCGGTAAAAGAACGCTGATTTATGGTGAGACGTGTGTGGTGATTAGAGGTCGGTCCCTGCCGGCGGCCTGTAGACACCGCGCGTCATTAAGCTCAGCTCAGACCCGACTGGTCAAAGACACGACTGAGTCGCTTTACTCACCACAATCCAACGGGCTTCACTCACAGGACATTTGGTTCCAACGCGGTAAACAGGTTCCACGAGTCAACACAAAAGTAATTCCACTTTGGGCCAAGCACAAGAACAATGTGTGTGTGTGTGTGTGTGTGTGTGTGTGTGTGTGTGTGTGGTGTGTGTGTGTCTACCGTTGATGTTGCTCCTGTCAATGAGGTTGGTGTCAGGCGGCCAGTATGCGTGCTCTCCCCCTCGACCTGGGACAGAGAAATAAACTGGAACATCGGGATTGGGAACAAAAAAAACAAAGAGAAACATAAGTGGCCGAGATGAAGATGGAAAAGTCACTTTTAAGGAGAGATTGGTTCTTTGTTAGGAAACAAATGGCTTTGTTAGGGTTACACACACACACATTCTTACCATAGGTGGTCTCTCTCTGCCTCAGCTTTTATCAACTTGCCTGGATACCAACACTAAATGGCTGTTTGAATTGGCTCACATAGAAGGGACTAAACGCTTTAGTCATTCCAGCAGAGCTGATTCCAGCCAGGTTGCAGATCTCTGATTTGTTAGACAATTCCAAAAGACGTGTTATGTCCCCCCATGGCTGCTTGGAGAGACAGCGCTTAAGCACGGGGACGCCGCTTTCCTACATAGTTTACAGCCACTGAATCAAAACTGGCTTCTACTCTCTGTATTAGTAGTTTTTTTTATATCCCCAAATTAGCAGGACGTCTTTGCTGGACAGCAGTCGAGCCAGTACATGAAATAAGAGTGAATGTGAAGAGGACGTCACAAGCAGATCCAAAGACCTCCACGTCTAAGAGTCACCCCAAAGCCAAACAGCCATTCCTCATATTCCACATTTCAGAACATCGTCACTCCCTCACACATTATTATGTTTCTGTGTGTGCATTACACACTGTGGATATGTGTGTGTGTGTTTAAGGTGTAACAAGGGAAACCATCGCTCTTCCCTTCTCCCTTTACAACACGTCTAATGTATATGGAGAGGAACCTCAGTGTCCACACACACACACACACACACACATTCAGATGAGCACGTGGACACACACATCTGTCAGTGACAAACGGCACCATTTAACAGCCTGGCTGGTTCAGCGTCCCCATCGCGTCACTTCGCCAAGTCCAGCTGCACTGGAACTTCCCAGAGTGCATTGGTAGAAAGCAGTGAGCACTTTGCTCGGATGGAGGTGGTCTGGGTGCCATTTCCACTCTGTGTATCACAGCGAGCTGCTGTATGAGCAGATAATCTTTGACGATGTCCATTCCCGCTCATTGGAAAGGTTGTGCGCTGTCCCTGTGCTCCCAGTGCGGAGTCATCAGATGTCCTCTACCCTCTGATGCGAGCCGGTACATTAAAAAGGAAACGCTGCTCTGAATCTGTGAATTGCCTTCATCAGGTGGTCAGAGTCACTACTGTTGACTGTAGAATTTAGCACCCATTGAAACTCATTCTGTTTCCTATTTCCTTTATACGAATGTCATGAACCGGTGAGTCCTGCTTGGAAATGATCTGATTCTATAGAAAAGTCCATAAGTGACTTATGGAAGTGATGTTCATTTGTGAACTATGGTCCAATAGACACAAAGAAGGGTTTGATTCGGGGGAAATGATTTGATGATGATTTCAGGCAATTTATGTTTTTTCTACCTGATTTTTCTACCATATTCACAATGAACATTTGAGTTTTTAACGGTGTAGTGTACATGGCCATCCTCATCCTTTTTAATTATACTGCAGTGGCCAGAGAAGGCAAGGTAGGCACTGCCTACCCTGGCAAAATTTCAACATAAAAATGTTTATTAAATTAAAATATTATTGAATAAACATATTTGTATGTTTACTGTTTGTTCTTACAGTTCTGTATGCAAAGTAGTGTGTTATTTCAATTGTTTAGACGTTACAATGACAAATGTAGCCGTTACGCATAAACAAATACAAAGAAATGGCAGAATGAGCTGCTTTTATTGTCTCTTCATTGTGGACGACAAGTTGTGCATGTAACCTTCGATCAACACAACTGTGGCCAAACATGGACCAATCAAAATCGAGATATAACTGGACATTTGCACTACACCAGCTACGTTGTAAGCGTAATTAAAATGATAGTGGTGTTCGCGGATATCACGGATCTCAGACGAGTTTTACAAAGCTGTGATCGACCTCTTCACGAGGAAAAGCGGTTATGTACAAATAATCAGTCAGAAACTATTTCGGGCTTAATATTGAATTGTATATATATATATATATAAATGTGTACATACACAGCGTTGCAGCTGGGCAGCGATGTTAACTCTAACACAGCGACGTCATGCGCGCGGTGTGCGGATATAAGGCGTTAGCATGTAGCTAACTGGCTAGCTAAACATCCCGGCGTAGAGGTTGCTACAGAAGCGTCATTTATCTGCGACTTCCCTTTCGCGCCGGCCCGTTGTGTCACCGTGAGCTCGGGCTGATCTGGTCCAGCTGTTTTAGCTCTGGTTCTTCTCTCGTACCGAGTTTGGGTCGGGTCTTCTTGGAGGACACTGCCGGTGGTCGCTCCTGTTATGTTGTTAAACGGCGTGTCGGAGACTCGCCCTGACGAGAGCGCAGCGTAGGGCGGCGAAGGGCCCAAATCTCAATGTGTTTTAGGGCGCTGAAATGATAATGTCACTTATTATCTTCATCAGTGATTGGCTAACTGCTCCTTAGACCCGTCGCTTTGGGACCCGAGTCCAGCTGAGACATGTGGAGAGGACGTGCAGGAAAGGCATATATTTTGCCCAGATATCTTAATTTAGAAATATTATATAATCCAACTTTTTTTTAGTATCTCATGGTGGGGCCAGGCCCCGTTGCCCTCTATGGACCAGCCGCCACTGGTGATATGTCATGCTGATTGGAAATCATGAATCATGATTGGTCATGATATCGACCGTGTGTGTGTGTGTGTGTGTGTGTGTGGCGCGCTTGTGCATTACGTTTACTGTTTTGACGTGTTTTGACGTGTTAGCCTGAACAACAAATCAGGTAATATTACTTTCATAACTCAGTGTCCTCTTACTGACATCCTTGTTTGCTTACCTGTTGCACCTGTTCTCCCCTGCTACCGTCTACTCCCTGGACAACCTGCTGGCTAGCTTCCAGTCTCTGGCCAGCCGGCTCCCTGCTGGACACCCACGCTCTGAGGCGGCTTGCCTGGGTAAGCCTCTCCTCGTGCGGTCAGTCTGACAGCTGCTTTTCCAGCTAGCTGTCGGCCAACCGCCCTCCGGTCAGCGCGTAACGTTGTCAGCTGACTGAACTGCTTCCTCCATTCCTCGCCTCATCCATCGCCACTTCTTCACTCCACTCGGCTCCGATCACCCGTCTGCTGTGGACCATCCTGACGTGCCCGTTTCCAACTCTGGTCAACAAGTCCGTGGCTAGTGGCATAGACCGGTTCCATCCTCCCAGCTGGCATGGTTTTGCAATACTCCACCTCCCAACTCCTCAAACTCAACAACTCCTCCCTTCGTCTCAGCCGTCAAAACACTTGGACTTCTCCGTCTCCTGATCGCTCCACTCTTTTGATCCCCTCACCGCTGCAACTCCTGCACGTCATCACCACAATAAACTACCCGTGCGAGTTGCTTGGCTCCGCCCCCTTACCAAGGCACCTGGAACCTGTCCAATCATCCACATCTCAAAATTGCTCTGTTTAACACGCGATCCCTAAACAACAAGGGCCTCTTGCTCAATAAATTCAGCCTGCTTTTAAACTGTCTGGTCCCAAACCACCTGGTTACTGCAGTCATCTATCGCCCCCCCCAAAACCAAATCCTGCATTCCCCCCTGATCTGTCTGAATTTCTCACACATCTCACCATCGATTCTGACCATTGGTGTTTACCAACACCGTGAAGACCATCGGGACCAAGCGCCAGACCTGGGGCAACAGGGCCTTCTCAGCTGCTGCACCTCCCCCATCCAAATCCGCCAGGCTCCCACCGTATCATCACTCAAACAAGCCCTTAAAACCCACCTCTTCAAACTGGCTTTCAAATGCTAACCCCTTCATGACTCATTCTCCAGTTTTCTCCAGTTCTATTTTTTATTTTATTTATTTATATTCTGTCTTTCTGTTTTACATTTACATTGCGTCTTTGGGTACCCAGAAAAGCGCTAAAGTATTTTAAACTTTTCACAATGGGTTTTGAAATCCTAAAAGCTAATTGTTGTATTTTGGTCACCTAAAAATGCCCTTTTCGCCAATTGCTTTTAGCTTGCTCTTCTGTGGGGAATTTTCCATTTTTAGAAAAACAACACGTGTCGGGCAAAATACAAAAGTAAAGGCTTCCAAACGTCAGTCCAGAGATGGAAGTCTTACGCCGCTGCAACTGTCCACTTCTATCATACGGGACACGAGAGTTCTGTCCTGTACGGGGACCTCAAGATCGGCAGTTACACCACTTTGGTCCAAGACTGAAATATCCTGAACATCTGTTGTGTTGATTTCTTGCTGGGGATCCCACGACTTTTCACACCACAATGTTACAACGTGAGGGGGGCGCAAATGTTGCGCCGTCATTTTCATGTGGCATGCGTCACACAGCGCGACCCCCGGTGGTCTGATTAGGGATAGCAGCTGTTTATAATATCCCAGCTCTAATAGTAACTAGATGTTATGATGATGACAATGATTCATAACAGTGTAACAGGCTGACACCAATCCTCATTACACTTACGATTCACAAGGCCTTTGGGAAAACACAACATTAAAAACTACAAAATGATTTGTCAAGTTCTGTGAGGTTTGAAAGCCTGAAGATGCAAATGATAAAAAAGTATTTTTGGCTTCAATCATTAGCGTTACTTCCCCTTCTGCCAGCTGTCGGCTGATGAATAGAACCGGCGAACACGGCGTTAATTATGTCTCCGTTCATTTGATGATCTTTAATATGGTAAACAGGTCTTTTCCATCGCCCCCATAAGTCTAAATTAATAACTACAAAAAGATCTTCCTCCTCTCCCATTTCATCTCTTCGTGTTTCTCTTTTCTTTTGCCAAGAAAATGAGTCGGGTGGGTTGTTCCCACAAATAGTGTGTTTTCTTTTATCGTCTATTTTTCTTGTTAATTATTTTTTCATTAACGTACATGCATAAAACAATTCGCTTAACTATCTTTTATATCCTTTCTCCAACTTACTATCACCCCTCTAACTTTCTGTTTGTTCACACATTTGCTTTCATCTTCCTTTCTATATTTAAATATTATTTTTTTTTACTCAGTTTTTACTGAACATAGTTGGGAAAATATGAATCAAATGTAACAAATACTTTCAGATTTTAATAGGTTTGGTTTAGTTCTTCTTAGTCTGTTTTAGGGTCCTATAATACCTCTACAGCTCGGGACATATGGTCAAAATTACAATTAAAAAGAGTACCCCCGCGTGCACGTGCAGGATGAGCCGAGGACCGACGGAACGGTTCATTGATGAAATGTAAAAGCAAACATATTACATGTACACACACACACACACTAGTGGGCAAAGGCATACCTTGATCATTTGCCATCTTGTCTGGATGTTCCACTGAAAAAATAAAACAAAGAAAAACATTTTTGGATGAAGCAGGTCTTGATTGTCAGTTGCGCGCACACACACGCACACAGACTCACACACACACACACACACGCTCTCGACAGACCTTTGGCCGTTCTGAAGTGGACGGGCTCGGACAGCGGGCCGACTCCTTTGGCGTTCTTGGCCTGAATCCTGAAGTAATAAACCGTGTCCAGGTTCAGGTCCCCGACCTGATGGGTCAGACGGTCACCGCTGATGGTCTCCATCACCCAATCGTCTATGGGCATGTTCTTGTCCAGAGTGTAGTACAGGATGTAACCTGGCAGACCAAAAGGTACAGGAAGTGAAGTACGGGTAGCCTTCGTTTTTTGTTATCCAGAAGCCAAAGATTGAGACCAGACGTGTTGACTTTTGGACCAGAGACACCAAATGTTTTCATTTAAATATTGTATTTTATTTAATCCATTTAAATATTCCTACAACACCATATTTTACCTAATACCTTAACATGTTTGTTGTGAAATCTAAAATGGAAGAAAAGTTATTAAAAACACCTACAGTAAAAGATCTAAAAATACCTCATCTGTACACGTGTGTGTGTGTGTGTGTGTTAGGCGCTGTGTTGTGCTGTTATCCCTGCAGGGAGCGCTTGATTTGTTCACGGGGACACTTCAGGAGCAGCAGAGCTCGTTAAAACAGACAGGTTTACAGCCGGGTCGATCGCCCAGAGGAGGGGAGGGAGAACAAAGGAGGAAAGTGCCCATGTGTGTTTGTGTGGGTGCGTTTGTACAGCGAGCAACAACTGAATTCTCCATCTTTAACAGTTTTTTGATTTTCTAAGAACATCATTTTGCTTTTTGATACTTTACAGAATACAATGATTCCATCCGTCACTGAAAATAATTCATGAGCAGGTTAATTGAAACTCAAATAACTTTTTTCTCTGATGGACAGTGTGTGTTGTGCAGACGGTGTACCTTGGGTACGGAGAGGGCTTATACCTGCCGTGTTTGCTGTGCCAACTCTCACCTGTGATCCGGCCATTGGCCTCCATCGGCGGCTGCCAGCTGATTAGAATGGCGCGGGGTCGTCCTTCGCGACTGATCACCGTCAAGTCTTTGGGGCCGGAGCTGGGAGCTGTCAGTTATGGATGATCAGGAAAAGGAGCGTCAACCGTGAAAGGATCAGAAGATGCTTTCAGTTTCTAAATATCTCTTACTAACAAAGGTGTCCTTATATGAAAGTTCCACCAACTCATCTTCCTGTGCTTAGAGTACAAATATCACAACCAGTTCCTGTCCATCACGTGTGAAGCCTCAGTCTACCAACCAGATGAATGGTCTCCTGGCTAACGACTAACCTCCAAAGTTAAAACAAAGTCAGGAGATTACATGACATGATGTCGGATGAGACTGTGCAGGTATCTGACTTTCCCCCTGAGGGTTTCATGAACGTCTCCATCAAGCTTCATGGCTTCACACCTATTAGTTGTCAAGAGATTTTTACTTTTTTTTACTCCAAACCACAGAAGTTGAGCCCGTGCAGAAGTCAGCTGATCACCTCAGTCGGTAGGGTTCATGGCAATCCATCCAATCCATTGAGAAGTGGTTCAACAGACAGACCGTTGGTCCTGACGTGTAATTAGTATTTGAAGGACTTTGTAATCCCAGAGTGCATCATTTTCTCTCCCAGTCAGTCTCCTCCTTGCGATCGGATTCATTGCTTTTTGTTTTTTCTGTCCCTGTACAACGAGCGCTGTGCGGTAGTTCTTTACCTGAAGTTCCTGTCAACAATCCTCATAGTTGTGAACAGGCTGAATTGTTTTTGCTCCAGTTGTGAAAAATGTCAACCACTCGGCTTCACTAACAAAACTCTCCTCAACTGTAACCGTAGAGTTAAAGATTTGATTAAAAACATGTTGCTATGTTTCACACCGGCCCTCAAAGCTCGCGTTCACCGCAGCGGCTAATCAAACCTTTTGTTAAATGTGACATGACGCGCTGCGGGAAATCACAAGTTCCAGCTGAGGCTGTTAGCGACGGTGACAACCTGTTCTCCTCAGCAACGACTGAGGGAGACGCGCAGCGCAGAACGTGTGCACAAAGCTGCTGCAGAAAACAATCGGCTAAAAAAATTATTAGCCTTCTCTGCAGTTTACCGTCACTGGTGAGTTGTTATTCTGGCACAGGGGGTAAAAGAGTTTGGTTTTGGCGTGAACACCATCACCGGTGCTGTGAGGGATTCGGCAGGTTACAGGAGTTGGAGATGAAATGTAAGGCCCTGTATCTAAACTCCTTATATTAACAGCCGCTTCCCAGTTTTCAGTGTGGTCACAGAATCATCAAAAGCATTTGCAGTCATCCTCTGGGGAGCCACAGCGGATTTAATGTGGATTAGTCTTGTTGTCTTTGAGCGCGTCCATCCAACTGATGTGAACACTTCTAAGACTGAAAAACAAAATGTCCTTCACCTGGTGTCTTTATTTCCCACAGAAAGGCCGAGGTGTTATGAGGCGGATGAAGGAAGCTTTCCCCCTGTTTGGTTGTAGAAAGTGTGGTCAGAGTCTGAGAGTCGGGGCTTGTTGACGACTGCAGGGACCGAGTGGGCTCAGCCCGTCTGCTCGCTCTGAATGTCAATGTATTCCAGCGGGCCCCGGGGAGCCGCAGCGGTAATGCCGTTCACGCTTAATTGGGTGACAAATCCGACAAACATGATTGTAAACATCCTGAAAGGGATACCTTGACATTTTGATTTCGGCGGGTGGGTGTGCAGGGGAGAGAGGAGTTTCTGCTTTACACCGCACTGAATCAGTAATACCTGTTCAGGAGGGGAAGAAAACAAAAAGCTTCCACACCCCCGTTTTGCTTTGGTAAAACCTCGTTTCTCCGAGTGTATCACGTTTTTTCCGAGAATTACTTTAAACGAATCCTCCAGAGAAAGACGGAGCTGTCTGCCTCAGTGGATTGTTTTGTGTCAGTGATGGAGGAACATTTTAACCCCAAACAAGAAAAAAAGAATCACCCACTTACTAGAAAGTTCCTTCTTGTCTTTGTGAACAAATCTAAACTTTTCCTCCATTAACGATGGAGGATTATGTCTGTTCCACGGTTGAATAAGAAGAACTGGACACGGGGTTGGAGGCGAGTGTGAGTCGTGCGACAGTTGCTCGACGGTGTGAAACCAAGTGGCTCAACTGGACTTGTTCATCCTTTGGTCTGTGGACGTCTTATTGGAAAGAGAAAGAGGGAAGCCGTAGACGGCGGTGGTTGTTTTCACCAGCAGTCCTGCCCTAAAGCATGCTGTGCTTTACGGGTTGTTCGACTCTAAATGGACCATAACCTACAAAATAAACCCCATTCTGTCTGGAAAACAACTTAAAACTTGTGACTGAGATCATTTAATCATTTTTGCAACGCTTACTGATGTAATACATCACTGCACTGCAACAGGGAGCCTACAATCGCTCTTCATTCACCACCAGACTTCCCCGCTGCTGGTCAGTAGAACAAGTGCAAGTTTCAAGACACTTCGGCAAGAACCGCCAACCTGACTGCCTAGTAGTAAAATACATATCCAGGGGTCCAAAGGAGAAGTGCACCTGTATTTCCTTTAACCCATAGACGAGCCAATGAGTCCTTGGCCAAGTCACATGAAGAAATTATCTTTGGATTTGGCTTGTGGTGAAAACAAGTGCCATTCAAGTGTCCAGTCCATCTAATCTATGATCTTGATTATTCAGTAGAAGTAAACTATGAATATGAAGGAATGAGAATACTGATCCAAGCGAATGAAACAGGATTCCTTCATAGAGGAGAGGCGCTGCTCCTGTGCAGAAAGGGCCGAGCTGGAAGGGTTCGGGCATCATGTCACAATTATGCAGCACTACGTATCTGGCCTCTTGCCGCGTCATGCCCATTTGGTGCTGCAGGGCTCTCCACCACCCTAAGTAGTTCCTTTTGTGCTCATGTAGCATTCATTTCACTGACATTTACCGCATCTGCATGTGTATGTGGATCCAGGACAATGTGTTGTGTCCCCACAAGCAGAGAACCAGAAACAGAAGCCTGTGTCTGGGAGACCCACCTGCTTCGTACGTTGTGGCGTGCGCTGTCATACTCCAAGTGCTGGACTTGCGGCCTTTGGTTACCATGACAGCAAACTCGTACATGGTGTTTGGTTTGAGGGCGGTGACGGTGTGGCTGAGCGCCGTGGTGTCTGCAGACTGGACACACAACAGACAGATAGATATACATTCTCACCTAAAAAGTCTCCAAAAACAGACAAAATCAGCATCTACAAAAGATCGATGCCCCTCTAATGTGCGTGCGTCCGTCCTCCAAGAATATGGTTTCATGCATGTGGCGGGCACAGTCTGTCCTTGTGTACTCGGAAGATTATTAAGACTGTCTTGTATTGATTTCCTTTTTCACAGGAAAAGAAGCCTCAGCAGGTGAACAGATAACATGACAAGTTGGGTGAAGGATTTTGTCTTGCCTTAAAAACAAATCCAAATGATTCCATGTTGTCATTTAGTACTGCCGAACGATCTCAACTGTTTCTGTCAGCTGAGAATCATTTCCTAAGAGACCAACAAAAACCATTGTCCTCCGATGTGTTTTATGCTCAGATCACTGAGGTGTGAAACTCCCCGATCATTCATTACAGCAGCTCTGCTCGATTTAGTCCTGCTGGCGAGCCGCTCGTTAAATCGCTGCGAGGGGTTTCATCATGCTTCACATGAGAGCATGTGGGACTTGTTTTGCAAGTCTCACATGACAGGTGGTCCCAGGTCAATACAGTAATCTTCCATCTGTAGGTAAGGGCAAAGGTCGTTCCGACGTCATATGACCCGACCGAAGTCCGATGTCAAGTCCAATTCATAAACTCATCTATTTGACAGGATAGTTTTAAGTCCCACCTCAAGTCTCAAGTAGAGTCAGGTCAGTTCCAATACAGGTTTCAACTCCGCACAAGTCAAAGGTCATGGCAGGTAAGCAGGTTATTCCCAGGTCAAGTCTCAAGTCAAGGAAGATTTGTCCCAATAAAAGTCCCAAGTTGAGGCAGGAAGTGGGCTTGTGATATCAATTAATAAAAAGTCAAAATGAACTCAAGTCCCGAGTCAACAGTTTTCCTCAGGTCTTTAGGGGTTTTGTTCCCTGATCCACAACTCGAGTCTTCCCATAGTACTAAACTCAGAAGTGATGTAGAACATGGCGTAATAGATCGACTGGGTTCACCTTGTACTTTCCACTGGTGGAGTAGCTGGTCTTCCACTTGACGGAGTAGTACCGGACCTCGGACGACTTCTGGTTCTTGGTCATGGAGTTGTCGGCCCACGACACGCGGACCGAGTCCGAGGACAGGGCCACGGCTTGAACCCCCACTGGGGGAATCATGGGAGTGCTGGTATCTGACATAGGAGTGGGGTACTTATCATAGAGGTGGAAGAGGTCATCCTCAGATGGGTCTATGGGGTCTGAGTGTGTGTGTGTGTTGGGGGGATGTTAACCGCAACCAGGATGTTTGGGGACAATGAATATAAATATATCCAGACGAGTGTGACACAAGCATTCATTCAGATCAACAGAGGTTTGTTATGTGTCCATATCCAGACGGGTAATGAAAAACAACATAAAACGTTGGGGAGATGACATGCAAGGAGGGATTTCAGCAGGCAGCCATGTTGGATTGAGAGGAGGGAAGAAGGACATGAGGAAGGGATGGTTGAGGTAGTGAAAAACAGGAGAGGGAAGAGGAGAGAAAAAGGTAAAGGGTAAGAAGGTGAAAGGCTTTACTTTAAGCAGGAAGTGGATCCTAGGATCCACAGAGAGGCAGAGGACCAAACACAGTTTGCTGAAACACAACACAGGAAAGTGTCACAAAGTTTGTCGTTCCATTCGTTCTGTTCGATGTGGCCAGTACGGCCCCAGAACACTCATGGGAGTCACTTGTCTCATTTCTTTCACAAGTGAAACATCTTAACATCCTTTACTCTACATTTTGGAATTAAAATATGTAAATTACAGGAATTAGAAACATACAAAATCTGAGGTACCCTGAGGCAGTCCACGCACCATTCGCTTCCTCATTTGAATGAATGAAACGCTCCAACCAATCAGAATAAAGATGCTGCCTTCGTGAAATAGGAGTATTCTTCCTATTTCCTATGGTTGCTTCACAGATTTCAAGGTGTAACTGAAACAAATCAATTCTAAATCTGAAGCCTCTTTGGGCCCCGACATTCCTTCACGGCTGTTAGAAGGAAGGGACCAGATGCTGTTGGTTACCGATCCAACCAATCCCTGTGTTAACCAGAAGCAGTGGCCAAGTTCACCTTCTTCTTCCTCAGTCTAGCCTGGTTCTTGCTGCCCAGATATTAGATGCGTCAAACAGGTTCAGCTTCAGGCTCCAGCAGACTAATGACGTCAAACGGCTACATAGTTAAAAGCTGGTGACATCAGTATGAAACAGAAAGACCTGTTGATGTGAAAGGTCAATATTTCTAGGTTGTAAAAAAACATTAAAGGAAGTATTGACTTTTTTTGGTTGTATTCATTTCTAACATTCTTTTTAATTTGTTCAACTTGGTTTTATATTATTATTTATTTATTTGAAAGACATCAATAACATTGGTCATTGGTGACAACAGACATGGTTTGTAATACTTTGTATTTCTGCCTGTTTGTCTGGTTTAGTTAATGCGATTATGGAAAGCAAGAAAAGAGCCAAACACACGGCTCCATTTTCACACTTAAAGTGTGCGTTAAAGTTAAGGGCCTTTATCGCTGCTTCTTACATGGTATTAAGGCAGCATTTTTCCTTCTGGTAATGAGCCCCTCCTTATGTTTCTACTATATATTTCTCTGAATACTGTGCAATTCACAGAGATGTCACAGATAATATCCAAACAACGGAGGACGCTTGCAGTACCTGCCTGGCCGCTTCGGGCAGGTTGACTTTGCAGTTACTGTGGTTACAGACTGGCTAAGCTAAACAGCAGGATTACCATGAGGCACTGGTTCCCAACCCGTCTCTGTCAGGGCCCCCTCTGAGGATGAAGGGACATTGTAAGACCCCCCAACGGCAGAAACATGCATCTTTCTGTGTCTGTGGCTTTCCCAAACACCATAGCCGGGATAAACAAAAGATCACACCAGCAAACAGCGAACGCATCACGACCCCGAGTCCACGAAAGGCACCACACGCCTGTTGTGTCTGAAGTCTAAAGCAGAGCACAGAGGATCAACACTGACTCCTGATGTGCTGCTGCTCAACAGAGATGTTCAGCTGCAGGCCAGCAGAGAGAGAGGGGGAGGGAGGGGCGAGAGAGAGGGGGAGGGAGGGCGCGAGAGAGAGAGGGAGGGAGCGAGGGAGGGAGGGGTTTGGAGCTGCCGGGCGAGCTGCAGTAGGCGAAGTCGTGGTTAAACTGGTCGTCCAGCATCACAATAAAGCTGCAGTCAGTACGGAATACTGATAAGGACGACACTCCTGCCTCCACCCTCCCTCCGTCCTCTAGTTCCTTATTCTCTCCATCCCTTATCAGCCAGCTCACTTTTCTTCATTTTCTCCTCCTTTTCTTTTCCCTCCCTCCCGTGCTGCACACCTCCTTCTTTTCCTACGACTGCCTCAATCCGGCCTTTGCTCTCTCATCCCTTCCTTTTCCTTCCATATGCCCCACACTTTCCCACTACCTCCATTCCTCTTTTCTCTCTCCCTCCATCCTTTCATATCGCTTGTCCCCCCGCCTCCCCCCACTTCTCCCTCTCCACGGTGCTCTAGTTCTTGATTAAATGGCGCCGTGGCGGTTGGTTGAGGATGGGCTCTGTCTCTGCAGTGTGTGGGCGGCGGGCCGAGGGACCGTGCAGTATATTAACCAGGATCCACTGTTAACGAGACCCTTTTTACAGCTCTCCTAAAGACTCTCCTGCAGCCAGCCACCATGAAGAGACCAGCATGCAGCTCGTCCCGCGTGACAAGACACACAGCGTGTGTGCGTCTGTGCGTGTGTGTGTGTGTGTGTGTGTGTGCGTGAAGGTGTCACTGTTGATGACCTTGTCAGAACAGTAATGGGTTTAGTTTCTGTCTCAGGCCTCAGGATCTCAGCTTATCAACTGCAGACTGTCGCTCTACGACTCCATGTGACACTATCTCACTAAACTCTGTGTGAGACTCACTATATTTCTGTACAACTACAGTGTGTACATATATATATATGTATATATATATATATTATGACTGTATGGTTACAGAAATTCTACATGTTTCTAATAAATTAATTCTAATGAATGTATACATATCTCTCTAGAAATCCCAGATGTGTGTATATGAATTTCTAAAGACCTCCAGATGTGTATATGTATTTCTAATGAACTCCAGATGTGTCACGTGCACACATCTCTTCATAACTCTAAATATATTGTGTGCTTCTACAGAACTCCAGATGTGTCCAGGTGTCTCTCTACAGTTCCAGAGGACACTAAGGACACGGTGATATCAGCGCACTTTTTTGTGGAATTAAATGGATGAACTTCTTCAAATGGCTTCATCAAATAAGAGAGAACAATCTAGCGGGCGCAGGAAGACCAAATCATTATTCAGGGACGATGCTTTTCCTTTTCCTGTCTCAGAATATGTCTGGAGGGGAAGCCTTTCAAGTGAACTCCGCCAGCAGGAGAACCTTCATCCAGTGGATATGTGTAGTCCTGTTGCTTTGTGTAAACATGTGACGTTACAAGCTGTCAAAAGAGACATTTCTGTATGAACCAGCCGCGTGTGTGTGTGTGTGTGCGTGTGTGTGTGTGTGTGCGTGTGTGTGTGTGTATTTTGTTTGACGTAAACCGTGTGTTTTACTTTCTCTTTACATCCCACGCCTCCTTTTTCCCACTGTCCTTCCCTCCATGCAGCCATTCCCTCTTCCCCCCACCAGCTATGATTAAGGTCCATCCGATCTGTCTGCCTCGCTCTCTCTGTGCTCCCCCCGCGGATTCTGTCTTTGTAGGATCCATACTGAGCTTCATCTCCCTCTCGCTCTTCATCGCTCCTCCCGTCACAGGCAACAAAGGCCCGTTAGAAATAATCTTTTGTTAAAGTTCATAATAGCGTCCCGTAATGAAGGTTAAGATGCTGTGACTATCATCACCACATGATGAAGGTCTGAAAAACCTCAGACGCGTGGCAAATTCACGACGCCATGAAGGATTTATGTCTGCTATGGGCTGCACGGGGGAGCTGAGGAGGGACAGCTGTTTAATTCATGAGACGAAACTTTGCTGAGAGTTGGATGTGTTTCATTTATCTCACTTCTGCAGCCCAAAGTCTGCAGGAGAAGCTAAACTACGCAAGTTACACTAACTCCCACAGTCGATGGATGTGTGAGACCACACACACAGTTCATGCATGTTACACACACAGGCGCCTGGGACGGATTGGATTTACTCTGGATGACTATTTAAGGACTCGGATTGTCTCTCTCTTTAAAATGGTTTCTACTGAATTTACTATAAAGTACAACATTCCTCATGAACATCAATCGAACGCCTAAAGGTGGGATAGCAGATAATATCCCCAAAAGAGATTTCTAGCCTACATTTAGCAAACCATCTGGCTTTTGCTGCCGGTCTCCACGGCTACAGACATCTGGAACACTGGTCGTACTGATGAGTTACTCACAACTGCTCCTGTTATTACACGCACAGCGCTACTAGATCAAACTAATGTGTTTGTAACACGTCGACTAACACATCAGAAATGATTTAGCTAGTAATAACTATTATTAATGAAAGGATGCAAATGTTCATCTGCCTGAGTGGAGAAAGATCAAAGGTGTAACAAGTGTAACCAGGGCCATTATTATTCTAGTCACAGTAGTACTGTGGTCACATCACAGCACTCAGTGATCGTCATGTAATGTGATCATCAGTGATCATTATGTCATGTGATGTAATGTGATCATCAGTGATCATCATGTAATGCAATGTAATGTGATCATTATGTAATGCAATGTGATCAGCATTGATCATCATGTAATGTAATGTGATCATCAGTGATCATCATGTAATGTGATCATCAATGATTATCGTGTAATGTAATGTGATCATCAGTGATCATTATATAATGTGATGTGATCATCAGTGATCATTATATAATGTGATATGATCATCAGTGATCATCGTGTAATGTAATGTGATCATCAGTGATCATCATGTAATGTGATCATCAGTGATCATTATATAATGTGATCATCAGTGATCATCATTTAATGTGATGTGATCATCAGTGATCATCATGTAATGTGATCATCAGTGATCATCATTTAATGTGATGTGATCATCAGTGATCATCATGTAATGCGATCATCAGTGATCATTATATAATGTAATGTGATCATCAGTGATTATCATTTAATGTGATGTGATCATCAGTGATCATCATGTAATGTGATCATCAGTGATCCTCATGTAATGTGATCATCAGTGATCATCATGTAATGTGATCATCATGTAATGTGATCATCAGTGATCATTATATAAAGTGATGTGATCATCAGTGATCATTATATAATGTGATATGATCATCAGTGATCATCGTGTAATGTAATGTGATCATCAGTGATCATCATGTAATGTGATCATCAGTGATCATCATTTAATGTGATGTGATCATCAGTGATCATCATGTAATGTGATCATCAGTGATCATCATGTAATGTGATCATCAGTGATCATTATATAATGTGATCATCAGTGATCATCATTTAATGTGATGTGATCATCAGTGATCATTATATAATGTGATATGATCATCAGTGATCATCGTGTAATGTAATGTGATCATCAGTGATCATCATGTAATGTGATCATCAGTGATCATCATTTAATGTGATGTGATCATCAGTGATCATCATGTAATGCGATCATCAGTGATCATTATATAATGTAATGTGATCAGTCAGTGATTATTATATAATGTGATATGATCATCAGTGATCATTATATA